TAGATTCCCTCGTAGCCCCTGAGGGAGCGTAGAGCAATAGCCAGGGGCTCAATAGCAAGGACGAATAAGAGTGGGGAAAGAGGGCAGCCCTGCCTTGTCCCCCGTCGCAGGGGGAAATAGGGAGATCTAAAAGAATTGGTCAGTACAGAGGCCAGAGGAGACTGATAAAGCAGCTTAACCCAGGTTATAAAATTATCCAATCCAATCCAACTTTATTTGTTAAGCACTTTAAAAACAACCAAAGTTGACCAAAGTGCTGTACAGGAGAATAAATAAGACATCATAAATGTAAACAGTGATGATGATGATGAAGACCACTGTGAGGAATATAGACAGTGATGGCGACAACACTGGAAAGTTCCCGTGGCAGACAACACAGACGAAGTCCGACGGCGACGAGCTCGATGTCCGGGCTGCAGACACGCTCTTTCACACACATGTGCCCGGCGTTACACCAGCTGTTGTTTATGAGCACGGACAGTCCCCCTCCTTTCTTCATGCCGGTCGCGGTGGTGTCCCTGTCGGCTCGAACCGTCTGGAAGCCGGGAATGGTGACGTTGGAGTCGGGTATCTGCTCGATGATTGCAGGGATGTAGAGTTTAAAGCTCCTCTTCTTCATCCTCCGTTTAACCCCCGCTCTGCAGCCTCACCAACTCCTCCTCAGCTCCTCCGGTATGGAGGGTCTCTCTCCGGTCAGGATGCTAGGGGGCCTCAGGGCGATCATCTGATCGTGGGTGAAAACAATGCGACTCCCCGGCGCCATGGAGACCAGCATAAACAAAAAATAAAAAGTGCTCAAAAACGCCAAAAAAGTATTTAGGCGACATGAACAAAGTAGTAAGAAAGTAAGAAAGTAAGAAAAGAGTTCAAAATAGCAAAAACACACTGAAAACCCACTAAAACTACAACAATGAAAAGGAGCTGCCATGACAGGCTGCCGTTGTCCCCCGCGCCATTCCATTATCACCAAGTTCAAACTTTTCAAGAACTGCAAAAAGAAAATCCCACTCAACTTGGTCGAAGGCTTTTTCAGCATCGAAAGACACAAGAACCTCTGCATGCTGAGGAGCCAAATCAGGAGAGTATAAAATGTTGTAGAGCCTACGCAGGTTAGAAAATAACCTAGTCTGATCCGGTGATAGGAGAACTTTTTCCAGTCGCGTGGCAAGCATCTTGGCTAACAATTTTGTATCCACGTTTAACAGACTAATTGGTCGATAGGGTCTTTACCTTCCTATAACAGAACTGATATAGAAACCTGATAAAAGGTAGGAGGGAGCGTTCTGGCGTTAAAGGCTTCATTGAAAGCATCAAGCAGTACAGGCCCCATCTGGGCCTGGAGTTTTAGAGCTTTGCATAGTCTTTATTGCATGTGTCCTGGAGCGAAAGAGGTTCAGCAAGACTAGCCTTGTGGCCTGCTTCTATTGTAGGAATTTGTAATTTATTTAGAAATTCACCTATTAATGCAGGGTCACCTTTGGACTCAGAGGTATAGAGGTTTGTATAAAAAGACTTAAATTCACTGTTGATTTCCTGTTGATCAGTAAGACTTTCACCACTGGCCGTGCAAATTTCTGCTATGAGTCTCGATGAGGCTGCTTGATGAATTTGGTGAGCCAATAGGCGCCCCGCCTTCTCCCCCTGCTCATACAGTCTATGTCTAGTCTGAAGTAATAGCTTAGCTGTTTCATCAGTGGAAGGAGATCAAAATCTGACTGAAGAGAGATCCTCTTATTGTATAGGTCTGGAGAAGGAGTTATTGAATTCTGGCGGTCGATTTCCAACATTTCATCTGTATTCTCAAACAGGCGTTTTTGACGTAAGCGATGAGTAGATTTAGCATAAGAAATGATTTGCCCTCGAATATAGGCTTTAAGAGCCTCCCAAAGTGTTCCTTTTGAAACTTCTCCATTATCATTAATAGAAAAAAATTGATTTATCTGGCTGGACATGAATTTAACAAATGCAACATCTGATAGCAACAAATTATTAAATCGCCAAGAAGCAGCCGTTGATTTATGCTGAAATGCCAGTTGTATCAACTGGTCGAGACAGACGACCACCCACCTAGAGCCAAAGGATCTGTCCTAGGTTTCTGCCTTTTAACAGGCAGTGTTTCCTTGCCCTTGTCTCCAAGGTCTTGCTCATGGTGGTACTGTTGGGTCTCTGTAATTAATGTTAAAGAGTTCGGTCTAGACCTGCTCTATTTGAAAAGTGTCCTGAGATAACTTCTGTTATGAATTGGCGCTATACAAATAAAATTGAATTGAATTGAATTGAATTAACAGATGTGGGGCATGATCAGAAATAACAATAGCTTCGTAATCACAGTGTTTTACTTGTGGCAAAAGTTTTTGGTCTAGAAGAAAGTAATCAATCCGTGAATATGATTGGTGAACCAGGGAGAAAAAAAAAGTGATGGGTAGATAGATTTAATATTTTTAAAATGCCAGGGATCAACCATCCCATAATCTTTTAGAAAAGACTCTATACACTTTGCTGATCTAGAAAGTGGCTGAGAGGTTTTGGAAGATCTGTCCAGCTTTGGATTTAAAACACAATTGAAATCTCCGCCCATAATTACACAGTGAGAATTTAAACTAGGAATTGAAGCCCATAAAGATGAGAAAAAATGATCATCAAAGTTGGGAGCATATATACAAATTAGGATGAGTGGGACATTGTACAGCTTTCCTTCCACCATTCTATACCTACCCTGGCTATCAGAAGAGGACCGGGAACAAATAAAAGGAGTATGCTTGCTTATTAAAATCGCTGCTCCCCTGGATTTAAACTGGAAGCGGGAGTGATACACCTGTCCCACCCAGCCTCTGTGTAAAAAAGCATGGTCTTGAGATCTCAGGTGGGTCTCCTGCAGAAATACTATGTCTGCCTTTAATTTTTTAAGATGTGCCAAAAATCATGCCCCTTTTTACAGCGCTGTTCATACCCTTTGTGTTCCAGGTGATTAGTTGAACCAAACTCCCCACTCGTATGCATGTTAGTCATATAATTTCAGGTTCAGATATGCCGATGAAGCCACATCACAAACCCGAACGTAGAGCTACAACTGCCATAGAAACATGGAAACAACACAAACATGAAATTATGCCCCACCTTCCCTCCCTTACCTTTCCCCAAATGAAAGGTGCAACAAACCCCACATTTCAAACCTAACTTAGTGCTACAGCACTGCTCTGCTTAACTAATCAGCCTGAATTTCCTAAATTTAGCTCCCTTGAACATAAGAAATAATTGTTCCACATTTCCCAACACACTATATTCTAAATAATGGTCATCCCTTGTTTGCCGAATGACACGTGAAGCGACATGAATATATCGCCACCTTTCAGCTGAATCTGTTACGAACAGTATAAACAAATATATAAAGTTAACACTGCTGGCCACTCAGTACTTAGACAATCAAGTTAAATGCCTATAAAGCATACGTGTGAATATATAAATATTCATTCAGCATTCAGTGCCAAAGAGTAAACCAGAAAAGAAAAAGGGAAAAAAAGAGCATGGGTAATCAAGTGAACATTACCAGGTAGGTCAGCCGGCAAAGTTAGACCATAACATTATCCTGGGTGTTGATTGAAGAGGAAGTTACCGTTCCAGCGTTATCAAGATCCTAGATCGGAGATAGGTCCATCAGCCAAACATAACTGCAGATGTAATATGTAGTCCATATGCGCCATAAACAAAATAAGGACTGATCGAAAGAGAATTGTCCATCAGCTGCCAGGTATGCGACACCTCGCTGGCGACACTCCCCGCTGTATCTTGGCCAAAGAAACCCACTCAGAGAGTGGAAATTGCCCATCCCGTAGAAATTAGAAATTATCCATGTCGTGGAGAAATCTTAGACTGATAGAAGTCCTCCGCCGCTTGTGGGGAGTCGAAGGTGTGCCGCACCCCGTTTAGGTTGAGGTCCTTTTTTTGGGTTTTGGTGCTAGCGATCGGTGGGCCCGGTCAATTTCCACCAGAGTGGGAAAATTTCAGGGATAAGCTCCGCCATTAATTTGGTGGGGCAGGCGTCCTCTGCTCCCTCCTGGACGCCGATGAACCTCAAGTTTTTGCGCCGGCTCCTGCTTTCCATATCGAAACACTTGTCCTTTAACTGCTTCAGCTCCTTCGCTTTCTACTCGTCTTTTTGCTCTAATTGTTGAATTCGGCCGAGAACCTCCAAGAGAGTGCGCCATGTCAGCCTGCTCAGTTGTCACCCCGGCATGATCATGTCGGAGTCGGTTAATCTCCTTTCCCAACTTGTGGCGCTGACCTTGAAAACTTGTTGTAGTTTCCGAACGCATGGCCTCAATTTCTTGCCTCAGCTCTGACCACAGAGTAGACATTTCTGCTCTGAAGTCTGTCAGGATAGCTTCACGGGAAAGTTGAAGTTCTTCTCGAAGGAGTTGAACAGTCAGCTGGCTGCCCTTCGCCATCTTGACCCAATCTTTAGCTTAGCCGTGAAACTATCGTTCACTATCGTTGTTTTCTAATTTTATTTCTTTACCGGCCAAAGCTCCGTGTCCGTGTTAATTGGATAAGGAATTTTAACCAGTTTCACTTCAAGATAATCAAACTATGGTCGTAGAAATGTGTAAAATAAGTGAAAAAAACGGGCGCCTACGAGACCTACGTCTGCTCCATACCACGGTCACTCCTCCCTCCAATATTAACAGTTTGTGATTAATTAACTGGCTACAAACTGGCTCCTCTTCCTCCGTTTCACTCCGGTTCTGTGGCTCATTCGGGCCCCGCTCCCCGGCAGTATTCCCCACTGGGTCCCTCTGCTGCTATGCTAGCAGTGTTTAAACTCCCCCTGTCCTTCCAGCTCGGGTACAGACAGCTAATAGGACCGCTAACTAGCTAATAGCAGCTAGCACAAGGCGCAGCTCCTGAACGCTATTTAACATTGTGGAAAGTGTACACAACACTGTCATTAATCTGCAGTGTGTGTGTGTGTGTGTGTGTGTGTGTGTGTGTCTGTCTGTCAGGTCCTCAACCAGGTGCATCCTAACCTGGTGTCCCAGCAGGAGGCGCTGCAGTACGTGGAGGAGCTGATCCTGCTGCTGCTCAGTATGCTGTGCCAGGCTCAACCCCGAACTGTACAGGAAGTGGAGGTAACACACACACACACACACACACACACACACACACACACACACACACACACAATAATCAATAACTGTATTGAAGTCTGAGCTGTGATCAGTATAAAACTGTTATTATTTATTATAAACACAGTGATTAGTTAATGAGTTACTTATTATTATCAATATCAACATACAACAGACAGATTGTCTGTACGTGGTTTATCAATAAAGTTGTGTTGCTGTCTGTTTAAATAAAGTTAGAACCAGCTGCCTGCTGACATCACTGTCAGGCTCTACTGTGATTGGGCTGGTTTGCTTCTTGTTTCCAGCTGATGGAGGCTGCTCTCTGGTAAAATACCACTGACCTCTGACCTCTCACTGCTCCTCAGGCTCTGTGTGTGTGTGTGTGTGTGTGTGTGTGTGTGTGTGTCCTACCTGTCTGATGGACCTGGATGTGCCAGACAACCAGAACCAGATCTGGTCTGCATTCAGGTGGAGGACAGGAAGTGGACAGGAAGTGCTGGTTAAACCACATCAGGGTCCTCTGAGGTCGGAGGTTGGAGGATCACTGACACACTGTAAAAAAAACCCGATAATATTCCAGCAGCTAAAAGACAACAGTAAAAGAATAGAAAGTAACTGGCATGTACAAATAGTCATTTTCTATAATTAAAATACAGTTTTTGCCTTTAATTTGACACAAAATCTTTTTTATATTTAATTAAAGATATTTACACTGTAAAACAATGATCTATAATACAGTTGACCTCTGCTATAATACAAATAATCAGGCTATTATTAGATTTGTCTTATTTTATTCTGAACTTTAAAAGTTATAGCTCTTTTACATAATTTTATTAATGTATTAACAGAATTAAACTTGAATTTAACAGTTTAATCGATTAATTAAACAGTAAATATAGATTATATTTTTGCAAAATGTAATTTAATTTGATTTAATAATTTTATTTGGAAAAAAAGGAAATTTTCTTTTAAATAAGCAGTAATTCTATGATTATTTACAGTTAATTTACATTAAACACGTAAATTCACAGGATATTTACATACATTACACACATTTACATGTATTTAATAAACACTCACTACATCAACATTGTGGCACCAGACAGGACGTCTGTCCGTACGTTTGTTTCCTCCTTGAAGACGCTCTCAGAGGATAACACTGGGTCATAAAGCCGTACCCGGCGGCATTTCAAGGTTAGCTTCTTGTTGTTAGCTACTTTAGCTGCTAACTAGCTAACATCAACAGCTGATGCAACTAACTTAGCAGTCCTATCAGGTGACTCTGGTGGGAGCTCAGAGCAGCGGGACTCTGTTGCTCTGTAGTTCAGGAGGTTTGGACCTCCGTGAGCGCCGGTGCCTCCGGCTCCAGTCCGTTAGCAGCAGTTAGCAGTTAGCTAATAGCTACAAGTTGATAACATCAGTCCATCAGTGAACTGTGTGAATCCCTGAGAGCTGACCAGCTGCAGACATCAGAGGGAAAACAGAAACTGAGTAACTATGGTAACCGTTATGGCTTCATTTATGTGATCGTGCTTTTAATGTGGAAATCCACTTCCTGTCCTCCAGCTGTAGTCCACAGGAACAAAAGAGAGGAACTGCATCATAGACATCAATCAGAGTGCAGCCAGCAGCTGATTGGCTGCAGGGTCCAGTTGTGTGTTGTGATTGGTCTGTGTTCTGTCCAATCAGCAGTGTGATCAACAACAGAAACAAACTGCTTCCTGTTTCTGTTCCATACTCACTGTTAGACCAGCTCAGTCCTGGTCCCCGTCCTCACCTGTCCCGTCCCTCTTCCTGCCAGGAGCGAGTCCAGAAGAGCTTCCCTCACCCGATCGATAAGTGGGCAATCGCCGACGCTCAGGCTGCCATCGAGAAGAGGAAGAGGAGGAACCCGCTGGCTCTGCCTGTGGACAAGATCCACCCACTTCTCAAGGTACGCTGGCCTTCATCATCCTCATCTTCATCATGCACGCTCGCTCTCGCTCACCGTTTCCCATGATGCTTTGTGTTGCTAGGAGGTGCTGGGCTATAAGGTGGACCACCAGGTGTCGGTCTACATGGTGGCCGTGCTGGAGTACATCTCTGCCGACATCCTGAAACTGGCAGGAAACTATGTGAGGAACATCCGACACTACGAGATCTCCCAGCAGGACATCACTGTGGCCATGTGTGCCGACAAGGTACCGAAACGCAGCCAGATCTTTCTCGCTGCGACCGTAGGAGCCCCAAGTAATCAATAAACGGATCAATTTGATGCTGAAATGACAACATTATGATGATTTGTATAGTCTAAATTCTTAAAATGTCTGTTTTCTGAATGGAGTTTGGTTGATCAGGGCTATGAGTTAACTTGGTTCTTAGTGAAGTAAAATGAGTGTTTCACCTGTCTGTCTGTCTCACTGGTCTGTCTGTCGGCCTGTCTCACCTGTCTGTCTGCCTGGCTCACCTGTCTGTCTGTCTGTCGGCCTGTCTCACCTGTCTGTGCTCAGGTGCTGATGGACATGTTCCACCAGGACGAGGAGGACATCAGCTGGTTCCCTCTGATGGACGAGGAGCCGTCGGCCAATGAGGAGCAGAGTTACTACGAGCTAGTGAGGAGCTTCATGTCTGACGGCCGACAGTTTGTGAGACAACTGAACCTGCTGATCAAAGTGTTCAGAGAACCCTTCAACTCCAACCTCATGCTCTTCTCACAGCACGTACGTACCACTGTTGATCTCCTGTATGATTGTTGATCTCCTGTATGATTGATCACCTCTCTGATCAGTGTATTGATCCTGTATTCATCAGGATGTGGACAGTATCTTTAGTCGGATCGTGGATATCCACGAGGTGACGGTGAAGCTGTTGGGTCTCATCGAGGACACGGTGGAGATGACAGATGAAGGAAGTCCTCATCCTCTGGTGGGAAGCTGCTTCGAGGACCTGGCTGAGGTCTGTACCTGTCTGTGTCTGTGTCTGTGTCTCTACCTGTCTGTGTCTCTACCTGTCTGTCTGTGATTGATCAGGTCTGTGGTTGATTGACAGGAGTTGGCCTTTGACCCCTACGAGACGTATGCTCAGGACATCCTGCGCTCTGGTTTTCATGAACACTTCTTGAGTCAAGTGTCCAAACCGGGAGCCGCCTTCCACCTCCAGGTAGGCCCCGCCCCCTGACCTCTGACATCAGAGACCTTAAGCACGTGTCATTAGGATAATTGGTTATAATAAGTATGATCAATTATGTAGTCTGATGATCCAGTGAGCATCACAGGTTGGTTGTTTCAAGCTCAACTGACTTCTTCTTCATAGCAACTTCAGCTCATGGGTAGTGTAGTAGTTAAAGAACTGTATGATTGTTTCTGTGTTCATTCACATTCAGAAGTTCCATTAAAGAAACAAATAAAAACACACAGTGAGGAACCAGCAGCTCTTCATACTGAAGGCGACGACGACGACGACGACGACGATGATGATGATGATGATGATGATGATGATGATGATGACAGGAAGTAAAGTGTCTGTCTGTCTTTGTGTCTTCAGTCTATCTGTGAAGGTTTTAAAGAGGCAGTTCAGTACGTTCTGCCCAGACTGCTGCTCACGCCTGTTTACCACTGTCTGCACCTGTTTGAGATCCTTAAGGTGAGACTGCCACACCTTTACTACACCAGTACTATACCGGTACTACACCTTTACTATACCTGTTCTATACCTTTTCTATACCTTTACTACACCGGTTCTACACCTTTACTATACCTACCTGTTCTATACCTTTTCTATACCTTTACTACACCAGTTCTATACCTTTTCTATACCTTTACTACACCAGTTCTACACCTTTACTACACGTTTACCACACCTTTACCTTTTCTATACCTTTACTATACCTTTACTACCCTGGTTCTACACCTTTACTATACCTACCTGTTCTATACCTTTTCTATACCTTTACTACACGGTTCTACACCTTTACTATACCTACCTGTTCTATACCTTTACTACACCAGTTCTATACCTTTTCTATACCTTTACTACACCAGTTCTATACCTTTTCTATATCTTTACTACACCAGTTCTACACCTTTACTACACGTTTACCACACCTTTACTACACCTTTACTATACCTTTTCTATACCTTTACTACACCGGTTCTGTACCTTTACTACAGCGGTACTACACCAGTACTACACCGGTACTACACTTTACTATACCTTTTCTATACCTTTACTTCACCAGTACTACACTGGTACTAGGGGTGTCACGATTCTCCAAATCCTCGATTCGATTTAATTTTTGATTTTAAAGTCACGATTCGATTTGATTTTCGATCTTTTTTAAATATTACTATTAATGCTTTCCTTATATGTTACTTTTTTTGGCCTTTTCCTATTCTCTTTCGGGGGGCTTTTATTTTGAAACTGCTTTTTATTTTGAAACCGTTCCAACCGCATGGTTTTAAACAGAACAAACATTAAAAAGAGACGTGAACATAGTGAAATGAAACAACACAGAATGATGATTTGATTGTTTCAGCACACTTCAAAGAGACCCAAGGTTAGTGTTCATGGAATATGTACTTATCAATGTGCATTTTAAGCCTGAAAGTAATTTTGGACTGGAACTAGATCATCTTTTTATTTGTAAGTTGAGTAGGCTAAGTTAGTATTAATTGACGTTAATGAACGACAAAATACTTCCACACTGGTGATTGCAGAGTAGCAAGAGGGGCTTTGATTTTGGTCGGTTGATGTGTATTTTTTAACTGGCTGCAGCCTAAAATTAGAGGAGTGTTGACGCCGCAGTTCAGTACGTGTGTGTGTCTTGGCATACATGCTGGACGTGACATTGGGGGTGTGGCTGCATCGTTGATTCTATCTTTGAGTTCGAAGTTCGAGATTGAGATGTAATTTCGATTGATTTCGATATAAAATCGAAATCGTGACACCCCTAACCGGTACTACACCTTTACTACACCTATATCACACCTGTGGTACACCAGGTCAATTGTAGACCTGGACCAGCACTGTAGATCTGGACCAGTGAGCAAAAGGTCCTGGTGTGGTCCCGCCCACCAGCAGGATTTGGGCCAGCTGATTGGACGATGTTTTCAGTCTCAGGTTGCTTGACAGAGATCAGTTTCTTTAGACCCTGATGTGTCCTGGTATGAGACCGGTGTCAGCTGCTGGTTCCCAGTCAGACCAGTATCCTGTAGACCGGGTCCTATGTGGGACTTTGGAGGTTAAATCCTGAAATCCCTCCAGTCATGTTCTGTGGATTACTGCAAGGCTGAGGGGGTTTATCCTGATCTGGCTCTGATCCTGGACTCTGGAGTAACAGGTTCTACTGTGAGTCCTGGTGTACAGGTGTCCCAGCAGGTGATGTTATATTGATCTACAGTCTGTGTTTCCATAGCAACTGGAGGAGAAGAGTGAGGACGAGGAGGATAAAGAGTGTCTGAAACAGGCCATCACCGCTCTGCTCAACCTGCAGAGCAGCATGGAGAGGATCTGCTCCAGGAGCCTCGCCAAGAGGAGGCTCAGGTACCTCACCTGTATACATGCCTGTACAAACACCTTTACACACGCCTGTACACACACCTTTACACACGCCTGTACACACACCTGCCCTCTGCCCTCCTGATCTCTGCACCCCAATTTTTCTAAAAAAAAAAAAAAAAAAGAAGAATACATGAGACACCAACTAGGCTAACCACCATTCGCATCCAGTCTTTGTGCTTAGCTAGGCTAACCACCATTCGCTTCCAGTCTTTGTGCTAAGCTAGGCTAACCACCATTCTTCATTAAGGCGCCTTCCTAATCGGAAGGTTGTGGGTTCGATCCCTGTCTCCTGGTGCCACATGTCGAAGTATCCTTGAGCAAGATACTGAACCCCAAATTACTCCTGATGCCGTGCATCGATGTGTGAGTGGAATGTTAGTTTCTGTTCGATGACTTTGCCATCACTGTGTGAATGTGTGTGAAAGGGTGAATGTGGCACGTAGTGTAAAAGCGCTTTGAGTGGTCGGAAGACTAGAAAGGCGCTATACAAGTACAGGTCCATTTACCATTTACCATTTACCATTCGCTTCCAGTCTTTGTGCTAAGCTAGGCTTACAGTTTCCTCAAGGAACCTGTGGGTTCTAGGGCTCACAGAATAGGTTGTCTGTGTTCTTTATGACGTCCTCCTGAGAAAAGATAAAGAACAAATAGATTTACAGAAACAATAACGTTTTGGTAAAATTAGTTTTTCTAAGAAAGTAAACAATATTAAATAAAGAATATTATGGAACATGAATTTTGTAGATCTAACCACACACTCTCATAAACACACAAACACACTCTGAGTACACACAGGAGTCCTGTGTGCGGGACTCCTCCCATCCTCCCTGTTTCCCTCTGACAGAAATAGACCAGTACAGGAGGAGGAGGGGTCGGAGGTCGTAGAGGGTGTGGGGGGGTCAGAGTGGTGTTGTTGGAGGGAAGTGGCGTCAGTATCGGGGCGGTGCTGCTCTGCTGCTTATTGTTCTCTGTGTGTTAGAGAGAAAAGAACACATAGAGGAAAACTACTGCTGCTGTTTGTTTAATAAAGTTTAACTTTTGAACGATCTTATTACCTGAAGAAGAGGACGGACGGTTGGATGATTGGCAGGTGGATATGAGGACGTAGGTGACTTAACTTTCTTCTTTCTTTGTATTTAAGCAGCAGGTTGGTGTTTGAGCTGCAGACGGTAGGCCGAGGTGGGTAGACAGAAGATAATGGATAGGATACAAGATAAGGGATAGGATAGAAGATCATGGATAGTATGGAGGTAGATAAAAGATAATGGAGGTAGATAAAAGATAATGGAGACTGCTGGAGATAGTTGGAGACTGTTGGAGACTGTTGGAGGTAGTTGGAGACCTTTGGAGACAGTTGGAAACTGTTGCAGATTGCTGGAGATAGTTGAAGACTGTTGGAGACCGATTGGAGACAGTTGGAGATAGTTGTAGACTGTCGGAGACAGTTGGAGACTGCTGGAGATAGTTGGAGACTGCTGGAGATATTTGGAGACTGTTGTAGACTCTTGGAGACTGTTGGAGACAGTTGAAGACTGCTGGAGACAGTTGAAGACTACTGGAGACAGTTGAAGACTACTGGAGATAGTTGGAGACTGCTGGAGATAGTTGGAGACTGCTGGAGGTGGTTGGAGACTGTTGAAGACTGCTGGAGACTGTTGGAGATAGTTGGAGACTGTTGGAGACAGCTGGAGATAGTTGGAGACTGCTGGAGATAGTTGGAGACTCCTGGAGATAGTTGGAGACTGCTGGAGATAGTTGGAGATAGAGACAGTTGGAGATAGAGACTGTTGGAGATAGTTGGAGACTGCTGGGGATAGTTGGGAGACAGTTGGAGATTGTTGGAGATAGAGACAGTTGGAGATAGAGACTGTTGGAGATAGTTGGAGACTGCTGGAGACTGTTGGAGATGGAGACTGTTGGAGATAGTTGGAGACTGTTGGAGATATTTAGGGGCAGTTAAGGATATTTGAGGGCAGTTGAAGGTAGATGGGGGCAGTTGGAAGTAGATGGGGGCAGTTGGTGTAGTTGTTGTGAAACAGTGTGCTAACATACCTCAGGGGTTTATGTTGTAAACTGATTAGTAAGCTGCTGCTGCTGCTGCAGGAGGCTCTTAAAGGAACAGTCACACAGTTTACGCCAGTCTGCGGTCACTATCACTGTGTTTCTACTACGATCAGTGTCACTGTGTTTCTATGACAACTAGTCTGCAGACCACCTTCAGTATGAACATCACAAAGACTGTTAATGAACTACTGCTGGGTTCAAAGACACTGTGGCATTAGTCTTCTATTTAGGATGTGATGTTAGCCAGTGAATAATACTCTGTATCATACAGTATGTATCATATACTGTATGATACAGTATGTATTATATACTGTATCATACAGTAAATTATACTCTGTATGATACAGTATGTACAGTAAATAATACTCTGTATCATACAGTATGTATTATATACTGTATAGAAATGAATAAGATCCCCCTGTGAGGACACTGAACAGCAGGTTGAAATGTGTTCACACTGTTGTTGTAAAATGATGTAACTGGATAATATGAATGTACTTTCTGTTTTAAACTGTCAACTGATTGTTTACAACACTCCGGTGTTTCATGTCCTTTACTGAAGTAAATATGTTAGTTACGGCATGTTCAGTACTAAAGTCACTGCCCACCTCATTATCAACACCAACAGCAAAAGATCTGTACCTTATGTGCCTTCAGATAACCGTCCCACAGGAGGAGGCCTGTAGGGTCAGAGCTGTGTTAATGTCCAGTATGAGTGCAGTGATTACAGCAGGACAAACCACTGAATGACTGTGAACCTGTCAGACTCACTGCAGGGCAAACAGAACAGAATGCAGGATGATGTCACAGTGATGATGATGTCATGTGTCTTTGTGTACCAGTCCGGCTGTTTGTCCCAGCTGAGGTTGGAGGTTTTCCTGCTGTGACCTCACTTCCTGTTGGAGCGTGCCGGCCGTCACAGCGGCCTCGCCGGTTTGTACAGACCCCGACTGTGTCGCCCAATCAGAACTCACTCTGCTGTCACATGATAAACATGTAGAGAAACAACCCAATGAGATAAAGGAACGTCTCTCTGACTCAGACAGGAAATACGTCTTACTTCCTGTCTGTCTGTGACACTGACATCATAAAATTCTTTGAAAACAATTTCAACTCAAGGTCCACTTACTACCATACCTCATGGTCTTCATCAGCACAACAGGCTGGAGTTTCAGTTGTCATGGAGATGGATGTGTTGACAGTTGACTTTGAGTTGGATTGTTTACGTTAACAATCAATTGATATAAATCCAGTTGTTGTTTCCATAGTAACAGTAGAAGAGCTATAAATGACTAACTTTAAAATCTCTAGTTTCACTGATAATCATCATGTAATATTTCTATATTTAGACTGTTGCAGCGAGCTGCAGGAGGTCTCTGTAGAACCATTAGAAACAGCAGCTGGCTAGTTAGTTAGTAAGCTAGTTAGCTAGTTGTTTGGTTGGTTGGTTGGTTGGTTGACTGATAGATTAGCTAGTTGGCTGTCTGGCTGGCTAGGTAGTTATTTAGCTAGCTAGTAGTTCAGTTGGTTGGTTGGTTGGTTAGTTAGCTAATTACTTAGCAACATAGTTAGTAAGCTAGTTCATTAGCTAATTAGTCAGTTGTTGAATTTGTTAGCTAGCAACTTAGTTAGCAACGTAGGTAGGTATGTTGGTTAGTTAGTTATTAAGTCAGCTAGTTGGTTGGTTATGGTTGGTTATTACAGGGACTTTTTAAGATCAGCTCTTAGCAGCAGGTCCTGGTCATAGCACTAACACCTCCCGTTTTTACTGAAATCAGAACTTAGATCCACGAGATAAAGGATCCTGATTAACTATGTCTTCTTCTGTGGTGTGCAGCGAGTCGGCGTGTCGTTTCTACAGCCATCAGATGAAGGGGAAGCACCTGGCCATCAAGAAGATGAACGAGATCCAGAAAAACATTGACGGATGGGAAGGGAAGGACATCGGCCAGTGCTGCAACGAGTTCATCATGGAGGGTACGCTGACCCGTGTGGGCGCCAAACACGAGCGCCACATCTTCCTGTTCGATGGCCTGATGATCTGCTGCAAGTCCAACCATGGACCGCCGCGGCTGCCCGGTGCCAGCTCCACTGCAGAGTACCGGCTGAAAGAAAAGTTCTTCATGCGCAAAGTCCAGATAAACGACAAGGATGACAAGGAGGGTGAGTACCGCCATGCCTTCGAGATCATCCTAAAGGACGGGAACAGCGTGGTGTTTGCCGCTAAGTCCGCCGAGGAGAAGAATGGCTGGATGGCAGCGCTTATCTCATTGCAATACCGCAGCACGCTGGAGCGCATGCTGGACTCGGCCATGCTGCAGGAGGAGAAGGAGGAGCAGATGAGGCTGCCGGGAGCCGAGGTGTACCGGTTCGCTGAGCCAGACTCCGAGGAGAACGTCGTGTTCGAGGAGAACGTCCAGTCCAAGTCCGGGATCCCCATCATCAAAGCAGGGACGGTCCTGAAACTGATTGAGAGGCTCACCTTCCACATGTATGCAGGTGAGGCGTGATGTCACTCAGGTGTTTAGATCTGAACCAGGTGAGGCGTGATGTCACTCAGGTAAGACGTGATATCTAATCAATAAAGAAGTCAATCTTGCCACTGCAGTCTAGTAGTCTATAGTGTAGTCACTCAAACAAGCAACCAATCAATGATCATAGAAAGCGTTCCATCCCCATGGTTACTGTGAGGCACTGGCCATCATAGCATGTGGTAGTAATCTATATCGATATTGAAATGAATCAATAACTGCTGGATTACTGATCATGCTCGACTGTATTTTATACAGCTGTTGTAAAGTCTGTGCCTCGTTGACATTTTGGGGATTTTTTTATGAAACAACGTAAACACAATATTTACATTCATTCATTGTTTCCTTGTATTTCATAAACTGAACAGAGATCAGTGTCAGTACTTACTTACTCAGGGACTGGGATGTTCTGGTTGTTTTCTCCGAGACCTTTCTTGGTCTTCATGTTGACCTCCACAGTCCCCCTAAACTGCCCTCTGTTAGTTCACAGTGTGGAGACTGTGGACATCAGGAACTGTCACACAGCTGCTTAGAGGAAGCCCTGGTTGTGTTCAGGGAGTCCGAGTGGGGTTGGAAAGGCCTGAAACCAGCTGAAGGTTCCTGATCACAGCTGTTGACCTGCCTCATTTTATTGTTTAATTTTTGACAACAATGAATGTTTGCTATTGTCTAATGGTACACGGAGGCTGTTTATATCTTTTAATGAAGACAATAACCAAAATGTGTCAAACTTTACATACAGCTGTATTTCATATTCTATTAATCAGTATCAATAACAGCTGATAAACTGTCCAATGAACCCAAACAGTGAACATATCATTTTTAACAATCAGACTTAATATTCTTCTTGTCGTTATTCTGTCAGTATAGACTGTGTTCACATCTCCAATTATATTCTACCCTTTAAAAACAACCACTTCACTTAGTTTTATTCACAGTAAGGGACCAGAGATAGAGGCCGACTGTAGACCCCTTAAAACCTCTGTGAGGCTTTGGCGACCCCTAGTGGGGGCCTGACCCCCAGGTTGGGAACCACTGATTTACACTATAGGTGATGTGTAAGTCATTTCTCCACAATGGTATGTCTGATTGACACCAAGCTTGGGTCCATAGTTCCCCATGTCTTCATTGGGCATCGTGCACAATCTTGAACAATTTGAGGCCACCGCCACAAGGTGGCGCTCTTTCAAAGTCAAACGTTTATATCTCCGCATCAGCAAGTGTGATTAAAATGAAACTTGGTAGGATGATTGCCCATGGCTCCCTGAGGCTACCCTAAAAAGCAAATGAAATCATGCCACCAGGTGGTGCTCTGGTGGAAGATAATTAGCTGTGCGGAGACCGTAATAGTTATGAATATGAAATTCACAGGACACGTGTAGACTGGTGCCTGTAGCTCACGTACCAAAAATCGTGTTTGTCGTGTTTGTAGCGCCCCCTATAGAATGTTTTAAAAGCAGCCCCGGCGCCACGTTTCGCCGATATGTATTAAACTCAGTAGGCATGTGTAACGTGCCGAGATGTACAAAAAAGCCACTTGGACCCATGCCCCAAAACCCACAGGAAGCCAGCTATTTTCATTTTTAATTTTCACTCCCGGTGGCCATTTTGTGGTCATTTTCACTTTTTCGGCTTGTATTTGAAGGAACTCCTCCTAGGGAATTTATCGGATCTGCTTCAAAATTGGTCAGTACGGTCAAAAAATGTTGCTGAATGAACGCCATGCTGTTTGCAACTGTACGTTGAAGGGCGTGTCCGTGGCGTGCTGTCAAAGTTGGCCATTTTGAATCGAATGTCAAACTGTGATGTCATTTTTGGCATTTAAGGGTTCTATTTTAAATAACTCCTCCTACAGCTTTTATCGGCTCGACTTCAAAATTGGTCGGTACAGTCAAAAAATGTTGCTGAATGAACGCCTTGCTATTTGCGACTGTACATTGAAGGGCGTGTCCGTGGCGTGCTGTCAAAGTTGGCCATTTTGTAACGAATGTCAAGCTGTGATGTCATTTTTGGCATTTCAGGGCTTCTATTTTAACTAACTTCTCCCACAGGTTTTTTCGGATCTGCTTCAAATTTGGTCAGTACAGTCAAAACATGGTGCTGACTGAACGCCGTGGTATTTGTGAATGTACGTTGAGGGGCGTGTCCGTCAGGGCGTGTTGAAGGGCGTGTCCGTGGCGTGCCGTCAAAGTTGGCCATTTTGAATTCCGTGGTCTTGTATTTGAAGGAATGAACTCCTAGGGAATTTATCAGATCTGCTACAAAACTGGACAGTACACTTGAAAAATGTTGCTGATTAATAGTTGTGCTTTTTGTGACTGTACGTTGAAGGGCGTGTCCGTGGCATGCCGTCAAAGTCGGCCACTGTGATGCCATTTCAGACATTTCAGGGCTTCTATTTTTACTAACTCCTACAGATTTTATCATATTGACTTCATATTCGATCACTGCAATCTAGATGCATTGGTGATCATAAGTAAATCAAATATTTATTGTGCATAAAATTGTGTCCGTGGCGTGGTGCTGAATTTCCACCTTTTGCAATGAAGAGTCTCTCTATGAAAGCGTAAGTCTTTTGCAGTGTCTGAAACGTGTGACAACGTAGAGTGGTCTCCCTCAGCTTCAGGCGATGAGGGCTTGGGAGTTGGTTGATGTGAAAATTTACGACGGCACGTGACGCGGCCGCAGCACACCCCGAGTTGCGTGGAGTGCGAGGTCCCGCCCAATGCTGCTTGCAGCTTTAATTCAATCTTTTTTTTCTATTTAGTTTTGTTCATTAATGTGTATTTCTTTTTTTGTTATCTGCTGTGTAACATCTGGAGCTGCTGTGTGAAGTGAATTCCCCCAGTGTGTGATCAATAACCTCTATCTTGTCTGAATAACTCAGTTATAGAACAGTTTTATAGTTGAATGTTTCCAGGATCACTTTAGTTCTTCTTGGTCCAGATGTTTAGTGGTTATTGTATTCCTCTGTGTTTCAGCCAATCAGATCTGGGCACTGATCAGTGTGGCTTTAAACACAGAGACAGACTGATCAATATATTATCTATCTACTATCTGTGATCAATAGTTTATTTCCTGTCTCTGTTTCCTCCTTCAGATCCAAACTTTGTCCGAACATTTCTGACCACATACAGATCTTTCTGTAAACCTCAGGAGCTGCTGGACCTCCTCATGGAGAGGTGAGTTCACCTGTCCCACACCACAGGAACCAATCAGAACGTCCCCTCTCCACCCTCACACAACTAGAATCTAACGCAGGGTCTTTAATGGCCGTTCAGTTTCCAAAAGGAAGCTCATTAACTCTTTTTATTGGTCCAAATATATTAAATATACTAAATATATCAAATATACTGAGAATATACTAAATAAATTAAATATACTGAGAATATACTAAATGTATTAAATATATTAAATATACTAAATAAACTAAATATATTAAATATACTAAATACATTAAATATACTAAAATATTAGATATACTATAAGCACTACAAGAACTATAATTAAAACTATAAAAAAGTTTTGGGGTGTAATGATGTGGACGGACTTCCTGTATCTGAGATCAATTTTAAACAGATTTAACAGACTTTGATGATGTTTGTGTCTCCATGGCGACCCTATGAATGAAGACTGATCTCAGGTTTGTGTTCAGGTTTGAGATCCCAGAGCCGAGGCCCAGCGAGGCGGATCAGCTGGAGGGAGGAGAGCAGCCGCTCAGTGCCGAACTCAAACGCTTCCGCAAAGAGTTCGTTCAGCCGGTCCAACTAAGGTAGTCTGAACCAGGATCTGTAGTCCCAGACAGAGTCCCAGACAGAATTATTAGAGTTTTAATTTCATCATCCAGGATGTAGAACTTTTAGATCTGCTTTATCATATGACCCATAATGTCTCCTCTTCTGTCCTTCTGTCCTCCTGTCTCCTCCTGTGTTCCCGTCTTCCTCCTCCTGTCTTCCTTCTCCTGTCTCCTCCTCCTGTCTCCTTCTGTCTCCTCCTCCTGTCTTCCTCCTCCTGTCTCCTGTATCCTCCTCCTGTCTCCTCCTGTCTCCTTCTGTCTCCTCCTACTCTCTCCTCCTCAGAGTACTGAATGTGTGCCGTCACTGGGTGGAGCATCATTACTACGACTTTGAGAGAGACCCTCACCTGCTGAGACGACTGGAGGAGTTCATCGCTTCTGTCAGAGGTACGCACCTGTCTGTCTGACCACCTGTCTGTCTGATCCAGGGTCAGTCCCTGCTCACTGACTCTGGATAACTGATGTTGTGTGTTGAACGATGATGTTGTGTGTTGAACGATGATGTCGTGTGTTGCAGGTAAGGCGATGAGGAAGTGGGTGGAGTCTATCACTAAGATCATCCAGAGGAAGAAGCAGGTCCAGGTGAGCGTGCCCAGCCACAGCATCACCTTCCAGAACTCTCCTCCTCCAATCGAATGGCACATCTGCAAACCAGGAAACAGTGAGCACTTCGACCTCATGACGCTGCACCCCATCGAGATCGGCCGCCAGCTCACTCTGCTCGAGTCTGACTTCTACAGGTAACGCACCTGTCTGCCTCTCACCTGTCTGTGTCACGTCTGCCTCTTACCTGTATGACCTGTCTGTCTCCTGCAGGGCAGTGCAGCCGTCGGAGCTGGTTGGTAGCGTCTGGACCAAAGAGGACAAAGAGATTCACTCCCCCAACCTGCTGAGGATGATACGACACACCACCAACCTCACACTGTGGCTCGAAAAGTAAGACCTCGCTGTGACCTCGCTGTGACGTCACTGTGACCTGGCTGTGATGTCACTGTGATGTCAGTGACTTCAGAGCAATAAACGTTTGACAGGAAGTTTCCAAGTGAGAGACTTCCTGCTCTCGTGTGACTGATTCCCTCACATTTAAAGCAACCAATGAGGTGTTGCAGCAGGTACACACAGAATCAGTGAGAGCTGTCACACATTGACCTCTGACTTGAGGAAGTAACACCTCAGTACACCTGTAACCTGTTTTAACTGTCTCCTGTGTTACTTTTGTCACCTGTCCAGGTGTATCGTAGAGACGGAAAACCTGGAGGAACGGGTTGCTGTGGTGTCACGGATCATCGAGATCCTGCAGGTGTTCCAGGAACTGAACAACTTTAACGGCGTTCTGGAGGTGGTCAGTGCCATGAACTCGTCTCCGGTCTACAGACTGGACCACACCTTCGAGGTAACACCTGATCCGCATCAGGTCCAGGACTTCACATGTAGAGGGAGCAGTCTCCATACAGGCCTCACTCAAGATTCAAGATTCAATGCTTTATTGCCATACAACGCGGTGCAAGTTGCTAGGGATTTGCTTCAGTGTGCTCAGGACATCAACAAAGACACAAAAGACACAGAACATATAGATACATATACAACACAAGGCCACAGAACATATAAATACATATACAGTATCCCACACGGGATCACAGCTGTCTCAGCTGATACACTTCCTGTTGACAGAAAAAATGTTGTTTGTTTCCAGCAAATTCCGAGTCGGCAGAGGAAGATCCTGGAGGAAGCTCACGAGCTGAGTGAAGATCACTACAAGAAGTATTTAGCTAAACTACGCTCCATCAACCCCCCCTGTGTCCCCTTCTTTGGTACGCTCCGACCCTCAGTCAGTCTCCAGAGTTTCTGAGCAAAGAGCTGTTGGTTCGCTCTCTACTCGCTGCTCTCTACTCGCTGCTCTCCACTCGCTGCTCTCCACTCGCTGCTCTCCACTCGCTGCTCTCCACTCGCTGCTCTCTACTCGGTCTCTGCTTGCTGCTCTGCTCGCTGCTCTACTTGCTGCACTCTGCTCGCTGCTCTCTACTCGCTCTCTGCTCGCTGCTCTACTTGCTGCTCTCTACTCGCTCTCTACTCGGTCTCTGCTTGCTGCTCGCTGCTCTGCTCGCTGCTCTACTTGCTGCACTCTGCTCGCTGCTCTCTACTCGCTCTCTGCTCGCTGCTCTACTTGCTGCTCTCTACTCGCTCTCTACTCGGTCTCTGCTTGCTGCTCTGCTCGCTGCTCTACTTGCTGCACTCTGCTCGCTGCTGTCTACTCACTCGATGCTCGCTGCTCTCTACAGTTTCATCCTCTCTGTGGATTGAAACCACAGAACTTTTCTTTAACTCTCCAGTCCCTCCAGAAATTTGCATAAAATTGCATAAATATCCAGCATATTCCATTGCATTTTTTAAGAAAATGTGCCGCATAATCAAGGATTTTTGCCCGCAACAATCACAAAAAAACTCCGCGTTTTTCTGGAAGGACTGACTCTCCATTGATTAGGAAAGTAAAGCAAATCTTAGACTGGCTTTACTTCATTGTTTGATGTTTAAAATGTGAAGTAGCAGTTTTTAGTACCACTCAGCACTTTTACAGCTGGTTTCACCCAGAAGGGGGGGTGGTTGTTCTGAAGAGAGTGACATAAACTGCTCTCAGCTATACAGCTGTATGTGACACACAGGCAGCAAGATGAAGCCTCTCCCTGCTGATCCATCAACACATAATCAATGAGCTTATTAGAAAGATCTGCTGTGCCAGCGATTGGTGCTGACGCAGCATGGGAACGATCCGGTCACACACGGTGGTACCAGTAATACGCTAACTGGAGCCAAACTGCAGAATGCTCCAACTTTTAAAAACGATCCTCCTGCTTTCTGCTCACACACTCTGGTAGTCTGAAAGTTAGGCTCTCACACAGGATTGAAGGGTCAAAGGTTAATTAAGGAGTCTGTCTGCCTGTCTTTCTGTCCTTTAGGAATCTACCTGACCAACATCCTGAAGACGGAGGAGGGAAACCCAGACTTCCTGCGGCGCCACGGTAAAGATCTGATCAACTTCAGCAAGAGGAGGAAAGTGGCAGAAATCACGGGGGAGATCCAGCAGTACCAGAACCAACCGTACTGTCTGAGGGTGGAGAATGACATCAGGGTCAGTCACTTCCTGTTCGCGCTGGCGGTGGGCGGGTGGTTGGGGGCAGAGGTCTGACATGTTCTCTGTGTTTGTGGAACAGAAGTTCTTCGAGAACCTGAACCCGATGGAGGACATGTCTGAGAAAGACTTCGCTGATCATCTGTTCAACAAATCTCTGGAGATCGAACCTCGAAACGCCCGATCGTTACCTCGCTTTGTGAGTGTCACCATGGTAACAGTCAGATGAGTTCAGTCTGAACTTTAACCCTTGTTAGGATGTTGTCATGTTCTGAAGTTCTTATTGAGATATTGAAGAACTTCCACATATAAAGATATCTGTCTCCACGTCCTCAGTGTGTCTGCCATCTTTTTATCTGTGGATGGGTCCCGTGTTTGTTTATTAGAAACTATTATTAATAAATGTTATTAATCATTTACTCAACTTGAAACTGTCAAAAGATTCAAGTTCAAACTAAGCAAATATTGATATCAGATAATGAGTTCTAATCAATATCAGACTTTGTGAGTTATAAAGACTAGATTTAGTTATTAGGACACTCAGTAGAATATTCATAAAGTGTTATTAAGCTAGAACCATAATGAGTACATTCAGACCAACAGCTTCATCACAATCGATAATCAATAATTATTAAGGGAAAACCCTTAATGGGCTATTAATTGTAGAATATGATCATACAGAATGAATCCTAAATAGATGCTTTCTAATGACTAAGTTAATATTAATGCTAATAAGCAACTAGTTAATGGTTAATATCTGCATCTTCATGTAGTGTTACTGTATCGTTAATTAATAATGCGATTAATCACAATAAAGGTCAAAAGATGATAAATAAAATCTGCATAATTAGGGATGCTCGATATTGGCTTTTCTGCCGATATCCGACATTCCGATATTGTCCAACTCTCAATTTCCGATACCGATATCACCCGAACCGATATATACAGGCTTTTTACACCGAAACTGTAACAACATAACAAATCTCCTATAGTGGAATTAACACATTGTGCCTCATTTTATTGTGATGCCCCACTGGATGCATACATAAATGCAACATGGCTTTCCAAATGTAAACAGTGTCTGTGGAAAACCACTTTAACTTTCATTGTACTAATACTGAAAAGAGCGCTAACGCTAATTGCTAGCTAAGTGCTAGCTTTTGTTAATGTGTTTAATTGTATTATTCACCTGAGGGAGTGCTAATGTAAATTCTAAGCCAATTGTTAGTTTGGTTAAGGAACAGCTCATAGTAGGTAGGTAGGTGCATTGCATTTATTTCTAGAGCCGGAGGATCTGTCCTAGGTTTCTGCCTTTTAACAGGCAGTGTTTCCTTGCCCTTGTCTCCAAGGTCTTGCTCATGGTGGTACTGTTGGGTCTCTGTAAATAATGTTATAAAGAGTTCGGTCTAGACCTGCTCTATTTGAAAAGTGTCCTGAGATAACTTCTGTTATGAATTGGCGCTATACAAATAAAACTGAATTGAATTGAATTGTGTTAATATTAAAATCATTCAGCTTTAAATTGTTTGCTTGTTAGCCACGGTTAGCAAACAACCAGTCTAGCTGTAGTTGTTGTTGTTATACGTCATCTAGCTCGCGCCGGTAAACGTCCCACGCTGCGTTCATGCAGGCTCGGAAATGCTGAAGCCTACAGAACAAACATCGGTTATAAAAACCCAATACCGATAATTCCCGATTTTACATTTTTTTGTGAATATCGGCCGATATTATCGGAGGGCCGATATTATGCATAATCAATCAGTGAGAAATTAAAGATCACTGTCAGACAATCATTAATTATTCCTTTATTGATCATCTTCATTAAATAGTCATTAATGGCTGCTACATTAGATGCTGCGAGCATTCACTCAGCTGTCCGAGGTGCATTGTGGGTAATGTAGGCTGCTCTGTTCATCCAGGTGAAGAAGTACACCTGTCCGCTGAAGTCTCCAGGGATCCGTCCCACCTCTGCGAGGCCCGGCACCATGCGACACCCAACGCCACTGCAGAACGAGCCCCGGAAGATCAGCTACAGCCGCATCCCCGATAGCGAGGCGGAGGGTGGCGCTGTGTCCGCCCCAAACTCGCCCCGCACGCCCCTGACTCCGCCCCCCGCCTCCGCTGCCTCCAGCTCCACCGATGTAGGCAGCGTGTTCGACTCGCCGCAGGGCCCCAGCAGCCCCTTCCACTCCAGTAAGACCATAACCCCGCCCCCGACACATTGATCAACCAATCACAGGTCTGATATATTTCCCGCCCACTAACCGCTCACACTAACCTCCATCTCTCTGCTGAGACTGATCAGTAATCAATTCAGATCAATCAATACGCTCTGATCAGGAGAAAACATGATTACTGCAGAAATAACACTGCATGACTTAGCTTAGCATAAGGACTGAAAACGGCTATCTTAGCTTAGCATAAGGACTGGAAACAGCTTAGCTTAGCAAAAAGACTGGAAACGGCTATCTTAGCTTAGCATAAGGACTGGAAACGGCTATCTTAGCTTAATATAAGGACTGGAAACAGCTTAGCTTAGCATAAGGACTGGAAACGGCTATCTTAGCTTAGCATAAGGACTGGAAACAGCTTAGCTTAGCAAAAAGACTGGAAACGGCTATCTTAGCTTAGCATAAGGACTGGAAACAGCTTAGCTTAGCAAAAAGACTGGAAACGGCTATCTTAGCTTAGCATAAGGACTGGAAACAGCTTAGCTTAGCATAAGGACTGGAAACGGCTATCTTAGCTTAGCATAAGGACTGGAAACAGCTTAGCTTAGCAAAAAGACTGGAAACGGCTATCTTAGCTTAGCATAAGGACTGGAAACAGCTTAGCTTAGCAAAAAGACTGGAAACGGCTATCTTAGCTTAGCATAAGGACTGGAAACAGCTATCTTAGCTTAGCATAAGGACTAGAAACAGCTTAGCTTAGCAAAAAGACTGGAAACGGCTATCTTAGCTTAGCATAAGGACTGGAAACAGCTTAGCTTAGCAAAAAGACTGGAAACGGCTATCTTAGCTTAGCATAAGGACTGGAAACAGCTTAGCTTAGCATAAGGACTGGAAACGGCTATCTTAGCTTAGCATAAGGACTGGAAACAGCTATCTTAGTTCCTTACATTGTGTTCTCCTCTCCACTCTGCAGCCTGCGACAGTATCTTCTCTGTGGTCTCTTTGCCTCACGGTCCACGTTAGTATTGACCCTCCTGACTCTCCGTACATCATCACTGACATCACACTCACCTGTCCAATGACTCACCTGTGTCTCTGCATCATCACTGACATCATCCATAGTAACAGTCTGTCTCCATGGAAACTATCAGCTGGCAGCTCAGCATGTGTTTTGTGTTGACGTACAGAACCCATCAGAACCCATCAGAACCCACCTCTACAGTATTCCTAACAGAGGGGTCACTGAATGTGTACATTATATTAGTGTGTGTGTGTGTGTGTGTGTGTGTGTGTGTCTGTCTAACAGTTGTTCTCTGGTCTCAGGGTCGTCTTCGGTCTCCTCCATGGTAAGTTTCAGTCGTGGTTCCGAGGAGGTTCCAGTTCCTCCTCCGGTTCCTCCTCGCAGACGTCCAGAGTCAGCTCCTGCAGAGTCATCTCCCTCAAAGGTAACTGACTTGTTCTCGTGTTCTCCACTGACAATAATGAACATAACTGTTCTCCACTGACATTAAAGAACATTACTGTTCTCGTGTTCTCCGCTGACATTAAAGAACATTACTGTTCTCGTGTGTTCTCTACTGACATTAAAGAACGTTACTGTTCTTGTGTTCTCCCCTGACATTAAAGAACATTACTGTTCTCCTGTTCTCTACTGACATTAAAGAACGTTACTGTTCTCCTGTTCTCTACTGACATTAAAGAACGTTACTGTTCTCGTGTTCTCTACTGACATTAAAGAACGTTACTGTTCTCGTGTTCTCCACTGACATTAAAGAACGTTACTGTTCTCGTGTTCTCTACTGACATTAAAGAACATTACTGTTCTCCTGTTCTCTACTGACATTAAAGAACATTACTGTTCTGGTGTTCTCCACTGACATTAAAGAACGTTACTGTTCTTGTGTTCTCCGCTGACATTAAAGAACGTTACTGTTCTCGTGTTCTCCGCTGACATTAAAGAACGTTACTGTTCTCCTGTTCTCTACTGACCTTAAAGAACGTTACTGTTCTCGTGTTCTCTACTGACATTAAAGAACGTTACTGTTCTCCTGTTCTCTACTGACATTAAAGAACGTTACTGTTCTCGTGTTCTCTACTGACATTAAAGAACGTTACTGTTCTCCTGTTCTCTACTGACATTAAAGAACGTTACTGTTCTCCTGTTCTCTACTGACATTAAAGAACGTTACTGTTCTCGTGTTCTCCACTGACATTAAAGAACGTTACTGTTCTCGTGTTCTCCGCTGACATTAAAGAACGTTACTGTTCTCGTGTTCTCCGCTGACATTAAAGAACGTTACTGTTCTCCTGTTCTCCGCTGACATTAAAGAACGTTACTGTTCTCCTGTTCTCCGCTGACATTAAAGAACATTACTGTTCTCGTGTTCTCCGCTGACATTAAAGAACGTTACTGTTCTCCTGTTCTCTGCTGACATTAAAGAACGTTACTGTTCTCTACTGACATTAAAGAACGTTACTGTTCTCGTGTTCTCCACTGACATTAAAGAACGTTACTGTTCTCCTGTTCTCTACTGACATTAAAGAACGTTACTGTTCTCGTGTTCTCCTCTGACATTAAAGAACGTTACTGTTCTCCTGTTCTCTACTGACATTAAAGAACGTTACTGTTCTCGTGTTCTCTACTGACATTAAAGAACGTTACTGTTCTCCTGTTCTCTACTGACATTAAAGAACGTTACTGTTCTCCTGTTCTCTACTGACATTAAAGAACGTTACTGTTCTCGTGTTCTCCACTGACATTAAAGAACGTTACTGTTCTCGTGTTCTCCGCTGACATTAAAGAACGTTACTGTTCTCGTGTTCTCCGCTGACATTAAAGAACGTTACTGTTCTCCTGTTCTCCGCTGACATTAAAGAACGTTACTGTTCTCCTGTTCTCCGCTGACATTAAAGAACATTACTGTTCTCGTGTTCTCCGCTGACATTAAAGAACGTTACTGTTCTCCTGTTCTCTGCTGACATTAAAGAACGTTACTGTTCTCTACTGACATTAAAGAACGTTACTGTTCTCGTGTTCTCCACTGACATTAAAGAACGTTACTGTTCTCCTGTTCTCTACTGACATTAAAGAACGTTACTGTTCTCGTGTTCTCCACTGACATTAAAGAACGTTACTGTTCTCGTGTTCTCCACTGACATTAAAGAACGTTACTGTTCTGGTGTTCTCCGCTGACATTAAAGAACATTACTGTTCTCCTGTTCTCTACTGACATTAAAGAACGTTACTGTTCTGGTGTTCTCCGCTGACATTAAAGAACGTTACTGTTCTCCTGTTCTCTACTGACATTAAAGAACGTTACTGTTCTCGTGTTCTCTACTGACATTAAAGAACGTTACTGTTCTCGTGTTCTCCACTGACATTAAAGAACGTTACTGTTCTCCTGTTCTCTACTGACATTAAAGAACGTTACTGTTCTCCTGTTCTCTACTGACATTAAAGAACGTTACTGTTCTCCTGTTCTCTACTGACATTAAAGAACGTTACTGTTCTCCTGTTCTCTACTGACATTAAAGAACGTTACTGTTCTCCTGTTCTCTACTGACATTAAAGAACGTTACTGTTCTCGTGTTCTCTACTGACATTAAAGAACGTTACTGTTCTCGTGTTCTCCACTGACATTAAAGAACGTTACTGTTCTCGTGTTCTCTACTGACATTAAAGAACGTTACTGTTCTCGTGTTCTCTACTGACATTAAAGAACGTTACTGTTCTCCTGTTCTCTACTGACATTAAAGAACGTTACTGTTCTCGTGTTCTCTACTGACATTAAAGAACGTTACTGTTCTCCTGTTCTCTACTGACATTAAAGAACGTTACTGTTCTCGTGTTCTCCGCTGACATTAAAGAACGTTACTGTTCTCGTGTTCTCCGCTGACATTAAAGAACGTTACTGATCTCGTGTTCTCCGCTGACATTAAAGAACGTTACTGTTCTCCTGTTCTCTACTGACATTAAAGAACGTTACTGTTCTCGTGTTCTCCTCTGACATTAAAGAACGTTACTGTTCTCGTGTTCTCCGCTGACATTAAAGAACGTTACTGTTCTCGTGTTCTCCGCTGACATTAAAGAACGTTACTGTTCTCGTGTTCTCCGCTGACATTAAAGAACGTTACTGTTCTCCTGTTCTCCGCTGACATTAAAGAACGTTACTGTTCTCGTGTTCTCCGCTGACATTAAAGAACGTTACTGTTCTCCTGTTCTCTACTGACATTAAAGAACGTTACTGTTCTCGTGTTCTCCACTGACATTAAAGAACGTTACTGTTCTCGTGTTCTCCGCTGACATTAAAGAACGTTACTGTTCTCCTGTTCTCTACTGACATTAAAGAACGTTACTGTTCTCGTGTTCTCCTCTGACATTAAAGAACGTTACTGTTCTCCTGTTCTCTACTGACATTAAAGAACGTTACTGTTCTCGTGTTCTCTACTGACATTAAAGAACGTTACTGTTCTCCTGTTCTCTACTGACATTAAAGAACGTTACTGTTCTCCTGTTCTCTACTGACATTAAAGAACGTTACTGTTCTCGTGTTCTCCACTGACATTAAAGAACGTTACTGTTCTCGTGTTCTCCGCTGACATTAAAGAACGTTACTGTTCTCGTGTTCTCCGCTGACATTAAAGAACGTTACTGTTCTCCTGTTCTCCGCTGACATTAAAGAACGTTACTGTTCTCCTGTTCTCCGCTGACATTAAAGAACATTACTGTTCTCGTGTTCTCCGCTGACATTAAAGAACGTTACTGTTCTCTACTGACATTAAAGAACGTTACTGTTCTCTACTGACATTAAAGAACGTTACTGTTCTCGTGTTCTCCACTGACATTAAAGAACGTTACTGTTCTCCTGTTCTCTACTGACATTAAAGAACGTTACTGTTCTCGTGTTCTCCACTGACATTAAAGAACGTTACTGTTCTCGTGTTCTCCACTGACATTAAAGAACGTTACTGTTCTCGTGTTCTCCGCTGACATTAAAGAACATTACTGTTCTCCTGTTCTCTACTGACATTAAAGAACGTTACTGTTCTGGTGTTCTCCGCTGACATTAAAGAACGTTACTGTTCTCGTGTTCTCTACTGACATTAAAGAACGTTACTGTTCTCGTGTTCTCTACTGACATTAAAGAACGTTACTGTTCTCGTGTTCTCCACTGACATTAAAGAACGTTACTGTTCTGGTGTTCTCCGCTGACATTAAAGAACGTTACTGTTCTCCTGTTCTCTACTGACATTAAAGAACGTTACTGTTCTCGTGTTCTCCTCTGACATTAAAGAACGTTACTGTTCTCGTGTTCTCCGCTGACATTAAAGAACGTTACTGTTCTCGTGTTCTCCGCTGACATTAAAGAACGTTACTGTTCTCGTGTTCTCCGCTGACATTAAAGAACGTTACTGTTCTCCTGTTCTCCGCTGACATTAAAGAACGTTACTGTTCTCGTGTTCTCCGCTGACATTAAAGAACGTTACTGTTCTCCTGTTCTCTGCTGACATTAAAGAACGTTACTGTTCTCGTGTTCTCTACTGACATTAAAGAACGTTACTGTTCTCGTGTTCTCCACTGACATTAAAGAACGTTACTGTTCTCCTGTTCTCTACTGACATTAAAGAACGTTACTGTTCTCGTGTTCTCCACTGACATTAAAGAACATTACTGTTCTCCTGTTCTCTACTGACATTAAAGAACGTTACTGTTCTGGTGTTCTCCGCTGACATTAAAGAACGTTACTGTTCTCCTGTTCTCTACTGACATTAAAGAACGTTACTGTTCTCGTGTTCTCCACTGACATTAAAGAACGTTACTGTTCGTGTTCTCCGCTGACATTAAAGAACGTTACTGTTCTCGTGTTCTCCGCTGACATTAAAGAACGTTACTGTTCTCCTGTTCTCTACTGACATTAAAGAACGTTACTGTTCTCGTGTTCTCCACTGACATTAAAGAACGTTACTGTTCTCGTGTTCTCCGCTGACATTAAAGAACGTTACTGTTCTCGTGTTCTCCGCTGACATTAAAGAACGTTACTGTTCTCCTGTTCTCTACTGACATTAAAGAACGTTACTGTTCTCGTGTTCTCCTCTGACATTAAAGAACGTTACTGTTCTCCTGTTCTCTACTGACATTAAAGAACGTTACTGTTCTCGTGTTCTCTACTGACATTAAAGAACGTTACTGTTCTCCTGTTCTCTACTGACATTAAAGAACGTTACTGTTCTCCTGTTCTCTACTGACATTAAAGAACGTTACTGTTCTCGTGTTCTCCACTGACATTAAAGAACGTTACTGTTCTCGTGTTCTCCGCTGACATTAAAGAACGTTACTGTTCTCGTGTTCTCCGCTGACATTAAAGAACGTTACTGTTCTCCTGTTCTCCGCTGACATTAAAGAACGTTACTGTTCTCCTGTTCTCCGCTGACATTAAAGAACATTACTGTTCTCGTGTTCTCCGCTGACATTAAAGAACGTTACTGTTCTCCTGTTCTCTGCTGACATTAAAGAACGTTACTGTTCTCTACTGACATTAAAGAACGTTACTGTTCTCGTGTTCTCCACTGACATTAAAGAACGTTACTGTTCTCCTGTTCTCTACTGACATTAAAGAACGTTACTGTTCTCGTGTTCTCCACTGACATTAAAGAACGTTACTGTTCTCGTGTTCTCTACTGACATTAAAGAACGTTACTGTTCTGGTGTTCTCCGCTGACATTAAAGAACATTACTGTTCTCCTGTTCTCTACTGACATTAAAGAACGTTACTGTTCTGGTGTTCTCCGCTGACATTAAAGAACGTTACTGTTCTCCTGTTCTCTACTGACATTAAAGAACGTTACTGTTCTCGTGTTCTCTACTGACATTAAAGAACGTTACTGTTCTCGTGTTCTCCACTGACATTAAAGAACGTTACTGTTCTCCTGTTCTCTACTGACATTAAAGAACGTTACTGTTCTCCTGTTCTCTACTGACATTAAAGAACGTTACTGTTCTCGTGTTCTCCACTGACATTAAAGAACGTTACTGTTCTCGTGTTCTCCACTGACATTAAAGAACGTTACTGTTCTCCTGTTCTCTACTGACATTAAAGAACATTACTGTTCTCGTGTTCTCCGCTGACATTAAAGAACATTATATCATAAGAGATACTGAGAGTTTATCTTTATTGATTATATTGATAGATTTATCTTTATTCATTTGATTATTGATTTAAAATGTGTGTTTTGATTACTGATCAAGTTAATTACCCCTGCCCCCTCAGATGATGTCGAAGTTGGACAGCCCCCCCGCTGTCCCCCCTCGTCAGCCCACCTGTAAGCTCCTCCCCCCTCGTTACTCCTCGTCACTGTCGTCATCGTCTCCCCCTGACAGCCCCCCCTCCCTCCCCCCTCGGGAGCCTCTCAGCTCTCCTCTGCACCTCCTGCCCCCCCCTCAGGGCCGCCCCCGCTGTGACCTCCTCCCTCAGGCCTTCTTCCCCTCCACCACCTCCTCCTCCCCCCCTCCATCAGCTCCGCCCCCACCGCCTCTTCCTCCCCCCCCTCCCTCCCTCCACCCCTGTGACCCCTACCCCCACCTCCAGGAAGATGCCCCTCCCTTCCCCGCCGCTCCCCCCTTCTCCCCATGGATGGCCCCCCCGTGCCCCCCCGACACGGTGTCCCCAAACTCCCCCAAGACCTACAAGAGGGAGTCTCTGAGCCATGCCCCCCTGCTGGATACGCCCCCCGCACTGTGATTGGACGGCCTGGACTTCCTGAAGGGGCGGGGCTAACACTACACACAACAAGACAATGGATGTAAATCTGATCGACCAATCAGGATCCGGACAAAATAAAACATAAATCATGTGCTCTTATTCTGAAAAACTCTGAAAGTGATTGTGGGGAACACTGGAGAACATTCGTCTGTCTGTGGTCGCTTTTTCATTTCTGTCTCATCAGACCTCCCCGTGCAAAGAGGATTGTGGGTAACTCAGTGGCCCACAGACTGAAGTGGACTCTATGGTGGCCTTCAGGTACCGGACCAGAACCAGAGAGGTACTGTGTTGGTTCTGGTGGACCTGATGTTGTTTCTCTTTGATTGTTGATGTAAACAAACGTGATGATTGCCTTCGTTAAAACAAGGGAATAAACATGGACTACACCTGTGTCTACCTGTCTTTATTCATAGTAACTGGCGGGGTCCGCCACAATACAGCCTGTATTCTCACAGGAACTCGTTCAGTCAGAACAGTGAGAATGTACGTCTCCTCTCATTGGCTGAGTGTCAGAGTTGTTAACCAATCAGCAGGCTGCTTTTTAAATAAAGGTATTAAGTCATTTCCTGCATGTTGTCTGGACGTGGGTCCAACGTGGACATTAATGTCTGTCTACATCCTCTAAACCGGATTCTGAACCCTCCACAGACTCTCAGGATCTCCTGATGGATAAATAATCAATACATCTATTGATCTGGTATGTACGGTGATGTCTTTGATCAATATAAGTGTAATTCCATGCTGCCATGGTAACGGACTGTTCAGCATTAGTTACAGACTCTACTGAGCGTGCTCTTGATCTGTTTCCATGGTAACGATTGTAATAACTCCTTTATTATTGAACAGGTGGGCTGTTGCCATGGAAACAGCGTGTCAGGTCAACGGATCAATACAAAATATATTGACATGAAATAAAAGTTTTATTTTGTAATAAACAATGACAAAGGGACATCACCGGTTTGAATCCAATACACAACAATAAAAAAAATACAAAACATTTATAAACAAAATGATCAATGGACTGATTGATCGATGAAGATAGACTGTTTGAAAATAATTATTGATTAGTAATTGGAACAAAAACACTTTATTTTGAAGTTTCTCATTCAAACTGATGACATCAGGAGGAAAGGGGCGGGGCCTCAGTCAGCCGCTGCTGCGCTCTGATTGGTCAGCAGGGCCGGTCAGGATCAGAGTCTGGATGATCTGGTTGGATGTGGATCAGTTTCTGGATGCGGTCCAGGATGATCTGGTTGGAGCTGCGGCAGTCGTCAGGTCCGTACGGAGCCTCGATGGTCAGGACCCCCGCCACCCTCAGCTCGCCCCCCTCCTCCTCCACCGGGACCCGGTTCTTCTCCAGCCACCTCCTGACGCCCCCCCTCCTCCTCCTCAGCTCCTCTGGGTCCAGCCGGGTCCGGTTCCTCGGGGGAAGGAAGGAGGCCTGGAGGCGATCAGTGATCTCCTCGTTGGCCTCCTGCAGGACCTCCACCTCCTCCACGGCATGACCCATCACCACCTGCACCGATGCCCCCTCACCCTCCCCGAAGTTCACCAGCACCAGGCTGCAAGGGAGTCAGACCAGATCAGTCCTGCACCAACATCACATCCAATCATGAGGTCTGAAATCACTTCCTGTTCTGAAACAACTGGATCAATAAAGTTTGTACCTAAAGCTGCTCTTTCACAATAAAATGGCTCCTCTACAACGTTAACAATGATCCATATCAGCAGTTTGAATCCAACTAAAAGCTCCCTGCACCAAACTCCCTTTAAGAAATATCACATTTTAACAATTCCTAACGTGTTCGTAACAACACGTAACTCTAGAAACACGAGCTAAAGGCCGTCATATGTCCACAGTCTGACTGTCAATACAGGATCAATATCATCCATAAAGATACAGTGTATACTGATCAATATCATCCATAAAGATACAGTGTATACTGATCAATATCATCCATACAGATACAGTGTATACTGATCAATATCATCCATAAAGATACAGTGTATACTGATCAATAATCCATAAAGATAAGTGTATACTGATCAATAATCCAAAAGAACAGTGTATACGATCAATATCATCCAAAAGATACAGTGTATACGATCAATAATCAATAAAGATACAGTGTATTCTGATCAATATCATCCATAAAGATACAGTGTATACTGATCAATAATCAATAAAGAGTATCAATATGATCGATGAGGGTAACGGAGAGGTCGGTTCTCACCTGGCGGACACCGGGTCGACGGTCAGCAGCCACCCGCGGTGCTCTTCATCTTTTCCCGCCTTCACCTTCACCAGTTTGTTGACGTAACGGATCCACTGCAGCGGACCTAACAGAGGCCACCCGCACTGCATCACGGTCTACACGGTTATCAGCGACGTGCCGGATCAATATGAACATAATAATCGATACAGCGTAGATACACTGACTGCCGTACGAGCTTCAAAACCCCCCGGAGGAAACACGAACCTAAAATAAAGGTTCCGTTTCCGGTCAGCTGTTCACAGCGAGGGTGAACTTTATGAGTCAGCGAGTCACAGTGAGCCGCTGCTGCCGCCTGCAGGCCGGCGGAGGAACTACAGCACAACGGTAGAACAACAGAACCACTGTAGAAAAGCAGAACCACAGTAGAACAACAGGACCACTGTAGAAAAGAAAAACCACAGTAGAACAACAGAACCACAGTAGAACAACAGAACCACTGTAGAACAACAGAACCACTGTAGAACAACAGAACCACTGTAGAACAGCAGTACCACTGACAGTATAGATGTAGAACCAGTGGCAGTACATATGTAGAACCACTGACTGTATATATGTAAAACCACTGACAGTATGTATGTAGAACCACTGACAGTACATATGTAGAACCGAAACACTGTACAACAGCAGTACCACTGACAGTATAGATGTGGAACCACTGACAGTATATATGTAGAACCACTGACAGTATATATGAAAACAACAGTATGTAGAGAACCAGACAGTACATATAGAACAGAAACACTGTACAACAGCAGTACCACTGACAGTATAGATGTGGAACCACTGACAGTATATATGTAGAGCCACTGACAGTATAGATTTAGAACCACTGACAGAACGTATGTAGAGCCACTGACAGTACATATGTAGAACCACTGACAGAATAGATGTAGAACCACTGACAGTATAGATTTAGAACCACTGACAGAACGTATGTAGAACCACTGACCGTATATATATAGAACCACTGACAGTATGTATGTAGAACCACTGACAGTATAGATGTAGAACTACTGACAGTATATATGTAGAACCATTAACAGTATAAATGTAGAACAGAACCACTGTAGAACAGCAGTACCACTGACAGTATAAATGTAGAACCACTGACAGTACATATGTAGAACCACTGTAGAACAGCAGTACCACTGACAGTATAGATGTAGAACCACTGACAGTACATATGTAGAACCACTAAAAGTACATATGTAGAACCACTGACAGTACATGTGTAGAACCACTGACAGTATGAATGTAGAACCACTGACAGTACATATGTAGAACCACTGACAGTAAATATGTAGAACAGAACCACTGTAGAACAGCAGTACCACTGACAGTATAGATGTAGAACCAGTGACAGTACATATGTAGAACCACTGACAGTATAAATGTAGAACCACTGACAGTACATATGTAGAACCACTGACTGTATAGATGTAGAACTACTGACAGTATATATCTAGAACCATTAACAGTATATAATGATGGCCTATAAACAGTTATTAATGCAGGAATTCACAGTTACAAAGCACTTACTACTCATTAATTAAGTATTTTGCGTGAGCTCATCTAAAGTGAGCATTATCTATGGCTTATTAAGCATTTACAAATGAGATATAAAGGCTGACAATGCCTCGAGACAAACAAAATGTTCAGTTATCTTAACAGACGAAGGAGAGACACAACCCAAAGGGACATAGAACATATTGTATTGATATTTACTGCAACTTCCCAACATATTGTATGAAGACGAACAAGGGTGGTTTATGAAGACATGCTATTGTTGTGATCTTATCTGTTTGGGACGTGTTTGCCCTTAACAATCATAAATCAAACTTTCACTTTTTAACACTTGGTTGCAAATCCTTTGCAGTCAATTACAGCCTGAAGTCTGGAACGTATAGCCATCACAAGACACTGGGTTTGATCCCTGGTGATGCTCTGCCAGGCCTCTACTGCAACTGTCTTCAGTTCCTGCTTGTTCTTGGGGCATTTTCCCTTCAGTTTTGTCTTCAGCAAGTGAAATGCATGCTCAATCGGATTCAGGTCAGGTGATTGACTTGGCCATTGCATAACATTCCACTTCTTTGCCTTAAAAAACTCTTTGGTTGCTTTCGCAGTATGCTTCGGGTCATTGTCCATCTGCACTGTGAAGTGCCGTCCAATGAGTTCTGAAGCATTTGGCTGAATATGAGCAGATAATATTGCTTCAGAATTCATCCTGCTGTTTTTGTCAGCAGTCACATCATCAATAAATACAAGGGAACTAGTTCCATTGGCAGCCATACATGCCCACGCCATGACACTACCACCACCATGCTTCACTGATGAGGTGGTATGCTTTGGATCATGAGCAGTTCCTTTCCTTCTCCATACTCTTCTCTTCCCATCACTCTGGTACAAGTTGATCTTTGTCTCATCTGTCCATAGGATGTTGTTCCAGAACTGTGAAGGCTTTTTTAGATGTTGTTTGGCAAACAGTGGTTTACATCTTGTGGTGAACCCTCTGTATTCACTCTGGTGAAGTCTTCTCTTGATTGTTGACTTTGACACACATACACCTACCTCCTGGAGAGTGTTCTTGATCTTGCCAACTGTTGTGAAGGGTGTTTTCTTCACCAGGGAAAGAATTCTTCAGTCATCCACCACAGTTGTTTTCCGTGTTCTTCCGGGTCTTTTGGTGTTGCTGAGCTCACCGGTGCGTTCTTTCTTTTTAAGAATATTCCAAACTGTTGATTTGGCCACACCTAATGTTTTTGCTATCTCTCTGATGGGTTTGTTTTGATTTTTCAGCCTAATGATGGCTTGCTTCATTGATAGTGACAGCTCTTTGGATCTCATATTGAGAGTTGACAGCAACAGATTCCAAATGCAAATAGCACACTTGAAATTAACTCTAGCCCTTTTATCTGCACCTTGTAAATGGGATAATGAGGGAATAACACACACCTGGCCATGGAACAGCTGAGCAGCCAATTGTCCCATTAATTTTGGTCCCTTAGAAAGTGGGAGGCACATATACAAACTGTTGTAATTCCTACACCGTTCACCTGATTTGGATGTAAAGTAAGTCTGCAGTTAAAGCACATCTTGTTTGTTTCATTTCAAATCCATTGTGGTGGTGTATAGAGCCAAAAAGATTAGAATTGTGTCGATGTCCCAATATTTATGGACCTGACTGTATATGAGCAACCCCAGAGAGACAGGATACATGCAGTGAATGTGGGACCAATGGTTACTTTGAAACCCACAATCAAGGCTAAAAACGAAACAGCTGTTAGCCCAGTGTTCCAACATCCGCAATCGAAAACTCCTATCACAACTAGAGATCGATGAGATACAACAACAATGCTACGGCTAGGGGGCGCCAGGACGACAGGTCAGCAGGGGGGATGCCACCATCACCCCCACACATCAGAGATTGGGTACCAAGCCCCAACAAATACCAACAGCCTCAGTACAAGAGCTGCTGACCTGAGAATGAAGATCATGGCCCAATTAGAAACCTGGAACCCCTGACGAATACCGAAGCTGACTTGTAAAGTACCTTCAGAAGATCTGCTAGTGGATGTGAATGCTGCAATAACAACAACCCCTACGGGAACCATCACTGAGACCAATAAGCTAATACACAGTACAGCAACAGTAATCCTAGAAATGCTTGGATACAGGATGGGCTCAAACCATAACAGGCAGCATCCACCATGGAGAATATGATTAGTCCTAATCCTAAAGGACCCTCAGAAGGGACTGGCCAATAACCTGCCTCTCCACAACATGGAAGGCCCTGTCAGGCATCATCGCGGCTAAGATGAGTAAGCACGTAGCTCAATACATGAGCGGGGCTCAGAAGGGAATTGGTAGCAACACCAGAGGAGCCAAGCACCAGCTACTGGTCGAGCAGTCGCCCGAGACTGTAAGAGCAGGAAGACCAACCTGTGCACCGCCTGGACTGACTACAAGAAAGCTTATGACTCAATGCCCCACACGTGGATACTGGAATGTCTGGAACTAAGGGCCTTCATGAGAATGTGGAAGACAACCCTAAAAGCCGACTCAAAGCCAATTACCCAAGTCAACATCAAATGCGTCATATACCAAGGAGATGCGCTATCACCAGTGCTGTTCTGCATAGGCCTGAACCCCCTCAGTCAGATCATCACAAAGAGTGGTTACGGGTACCAATTCCCAAGTGGAGCAACAATTAGCCACCTGCTTTACATGGATGACATCACCAGGAATGAGCAGTGGCGGCTGGTGAAACATATTTTCGGTGGGGCTGTGCCATACTTTTTTGTTTCTGTAACCATCGCAATACAATTTCACACAAACTGCAGGACACCAGTGCTCAGTGAAATAGTCAGTAGGGCTGGGTATCATTTAAAAATGTTCGATACCAGTACCGATACCAGTACCCTTAACACGATACCGATACCAATTGAGTACTTCATTCGATACTTTTTTTCAAATTTGTAAATGTCACCACTCCTCCCCATTCAAAAGATTTTTACAGGAATACAATTTGAAAGTGCTCAAATATTTATTTAATAACTGTACAAACATGTACAACGAAGAATTATGTATGTATATATATTACACATTACCTGAAGTTATCTACGGTTGCTCCTGTTAGGGTGGCCATTTCCTTCACATCAAAAAGGAGGACACTTTGCATACATGGGGACACGCAAGCAGATATTTGTTTGGTATTATCCGGTTTTAAATTTTAATATGTTCTTCCACCAGATTACATAAAGGTGCATACACATACCACATAGCTAATAATAATATACAAGATACAGCTCATGACAACATGCCCTTCCAATTCAGATTACATAGGTCTGATAAACATCATACAGAAACTGTTCTTAATGTTTTTATCTGGATAGATAAAGGGGAAACAAATACAGCACCTTCTGTTTCAGATGTATAGGCTTTGCCTAGGCTTTGCCTTTACATCTGAGTATAAGCATTTTCAGAATTTCAGTTCAACAAACCAACTTTAGCTCACATTACTGAGAGCTTGATTGACAGCCTGGTGGTAGCAACTGGAGTGAGCACATGGCTCATTTGAATATTTAAATTAGCCATGTGTTGATAGGTCAGGACATCTCAGAAGGCTGACCAGCCAAATCCGCCACAGACTAAGTGCAAGCTTTACCGCCATACAAAGCAAAACCATAGGAACAGTCATTTTTTTCATGATCTGGGTAGTGGGTACAAAAATAACCGATTGCAGGTATCGTTTGACAGGCGCAGTTTCGATACTACTCGATACTATGTTGTTTCGGTCGATACCTTACCATTCTTACACAAAAACATAAACATCATATTGCACAAACCTTTCATTTGCATTTTAAACTGAACTGAATTGACTATTTCCAGTCCAACAGCTCGTTCTGTATCGTCTTTGACGTGCCCTTAGCTGGTAGCTGTCTTCCGGTGCTCCTCCAGCACATTGTCAAGGGAGGCAACAAAATCCACCAAGCCCCGGAAAATGTCGGGGTTGTCCAAGGAGTCCGAGGAGTCCGAGTCAGTCTCGTCATGCCCACGCAAGGCCAACTCAAAAGTCCCACAAAACTTCACACAATCGATAATTTTGGATAAAATGTGCCTGTTTTTATCCACCTCCTCATTATGTTTCCTCACCGCAATCCTGTGGCCGTCATCTAGCTGCGTAGAGATGTTCACCCTTCCTAATATGGCTAGAGTTATCCATGTGTGCCCTGGTGTCATCATGTTTCTTTACCTTCTCTGACAGAGGCTTCATATCCCTCACTCCGCTTGGCTTAACTGCTACATAGACCCGCCTCCTGGGGGCGCTTTCTCTATCGCCCCAGAGCTGATGAGGCGTTCAGACAAGCAGAGGAAAGGTTGCGAATAGGATTTTCTATCATATTTTACACATATTACTGGGTGCATTCCATATTTCAAACACACAAATATTGACATACTGATATTTTTATCATTATTGATATCGCCCTCGATTGGTCAGCCGCCACTGGGAGTGAGCAAGAAATCGACTCACTGATCCACACCATCAGGATCTACATAGGGATGTCATCCGGATTGGACAAGTGTGGCCGGATGGTCTCAAAGAGAGGCAAGATGATCAGAACTGAAGGGGTTGACCTACCAGAGGGCAACATAGGTGATATCCAAGACAGCTACAAGTACCTTGGTATCCCACAGGCTAATGGAAACCATGAGGAAGCTGCAAGGAAGTCAACCACAACCAAATACCTCCAAAGAGTAAGGCAGGTCCTGAAAAGTCAGCTGAATGGCAGGAACAAGATCCAAGCCATCAACATGTACGCACTACCAGTCATCAGATACCCTGCTGGGATCATAAGCTGGCCAAAGGAGGAGAGGCCACAGATATCAAGACAAGAAAGCTCCTCACCATGCACGGAGGGTTTCACCCCAAATCCAGCACCCTGAGACTGTATGCTAAGCGGAAAGAGGGAGGCCGAGGACTAGTGAGCATCAAGGCCACTATCCAGGATGAAACATCAAAAATCCAAGAGTACATCATAAAATGGCCACAAAGGATGAACTGCTAAGTGAATATCTCAGGCAACAGAAACCTGATAAGAATGCAGAGGAAGAGGAGCAGACAACCTGGAGGGACAAGCCCCTAAATGGCACGTACCACCGCCAAATTGAAGAAGTGGCTGATATCGAGAAGACCTACCAATGGCTGGAAAAGGCTGGACTCAGAGACAGCACAGAGGCCCTGATCATGGCAGCACAAGAACAGGCCCTAGGTACAAGAGCCATAGAGGCCAAGATCTACAAGAGTAGATCTGACCCAAGGTGCAGACTATGCAAAGATGCCCCTGAGACAGTCCAGCACATAGTAGCAGGGTGTAAGATGCTAGCCGGGTCAAAATCCCAATGGGCCGCACCACAGAAGATGGCTGAGAACAACAGGGCCAAGGTGCTGTGGAACTTCAGCTTCCAGACTGACAAACAGGTCCTGGCCAACCAACCGGACATAGTGGTGGTAGACAAGGAGCAGAAGAAAGCGGTGGTGATAGATGTGGCCATACCAGCAGACGCCAACATGAGAAAGAAGGAAGATTGAAAAGTACCAAGGGTTGAAAGAACAGCTGGAGCAGATGTGGAAGGTCAAAGCGAGCGTGGTCCCCGTGGTAGTGGCTCCAACAGATCCCAGGAACAACATCAGAAGCCTCAGTCCAGAAGAGCGCAGTCCTAGGAACAGCTAAGATACTGTGCAGAACCCTCAAACTCCCAGGCCTCTGGTAGAGGACCCGAGCTTGAGGATGACACAGATACCACCCAAAGAGGGTGAGAGGGAAGTTGTTTCTTTTTATTAAATAAAGTATTTATGTAAACTGGGAACCACGTGTCTTGCCTATCGAGTGGAACGAACCTGTGTTTTAGATCAATGTAAAATAATATATAATAATAATTCCTTGGGTGCAATTCCCAAGGTGGCGTTGTCGAGCAACCTAAGATTCCCATTGAGAGCCTCCACGCCGCCACAATAAAATATATGTACTGATTGACTCTCTGACTCTTCCACCAAAATGAATTAATAATTTATTATCACACATCCATAAATGCATATTTTATAATCCAAACTTCACATTTATTTAACCTGAACAACATTTGTATTATTATTATTATTCTGTCTGTTTTACCTCTGTGTTCATACAAACTAATAGAAACACAATCAATGCCTCAAAATAAATAATTACTAATATAAAGGCGCACTAATAAATCCTAATAAATAACACTAAAGAACAGAAATCTGACTGGAAGTGGTTTGTTGTTAGAGTGACTTCACTTCCGCCGTAAGCTAGCAACTCACCAACAGCTAACAACCGGAGCAGCGGGCTGCGGTGAAGATGTCCAGACCCGGTCGGTACGGAGGAGGTAACTGCAGCCATCTGCCGGTACCGGACCACCGGAGCATCGGGTTCTGGACGGTCTGGCCAGTCTTTGCTGTTAGCGCCGACGGAGGCTAGCTGCATTAGCATTTTATTAGCATCACAACCCACTATATAAATACAGTTACTGTCACTTATTGTCTTTGTTGTAACCAAATGAAGAAGTCGTACACATAGCACTGTATACTGTTACCTATAGGCATGTTGCTACGACTTTTCGCTATTTTCAAAGTTTTTCATACACGCTAGCTTCATTAACATTAGCAGTTAGCTATGGCTTCTCCTTCTCCCTCTCCTCTGTCCTGCTCAGTGTGTCAGATGTTCAGTTATTCCTCTATCTCCTTTAATGATAATGGTACCTGTATTAAATGTAGTTTATTTACTGCGCTGGAGGCGAGGCTTAGTGAGTTAGAGGAACGGTACCGCACCACGGAGATATCTTTAGCCGCTATAGTTAGCCAGCCCCCATTAGCCGGTGCAGTCCGACCGAAGGTAGCTTCTGTTAGCTCTGTAGATCCCCCGGTAGTTCCCGAGCAGCCGGGAAGACAGGGAGGCTGGGTGACTGAGCGAAGGAAGACTAGAACGGCGAAGCCCACAGTTCACCACCAACCCATTCATGTTTCTAATACATTTTCCCCACTCAGCGATACACCCGCTGAGGAACCAACTCTGATTATTGGCAGCTCCATAGTCAGAAACATGAAGTTAGCGAAGCCAGCAGCCATAGTTAAATGTATCCCTGGGGCCAGAGTGGGCGACATTGAATCAAATTTAAAACTGCTGGCTAAAGATAAACGTAAATACAGTAAGATTGTTATCCACGTCGGCGGTAATGACACCCGTTTACGCCAATCGGAGGTCACTAAGATTAATGTGGAGTCGGTGTGTAATTATGCTAAGACAATGTCGGAGTCCGTAGTTTTCTCTGGACCCCGCCCCAATGTGACCAGTGATGACATGTATAACCGCATGTCGTCATTCCACCGCTGGCTGTCGAGGTGGTGTCCAGAAAACGATATGGGCTTCATTGATAACTGGCAGCCATTTTGGGGAAAACCTGGTCTGATTAGGAGAGACGGCATCCATCCCACTTTGGATGGAGCGGCTCTCTTATCTAGAAATATGGCGAAGTTTATTTCTAAAACCTGACAGTCCAGAGTTGGGACCAGGAAGCAGAGCTGCTGTCTTACACACTTCTCTGCACTTTCTTTAGAACAGTCACCCACCCAAAACCCCATAGAGACTGTGTCTGTCCCCCGACCACCTAAATTATTTAAAGAAATAAAAACAAGAGGAGTTCAACATAAAAATCTAATAAAAATTAAAACTAACTCCTCAGTAGCACAAAATAAGAGAATGAAATGTGGACTGTTAAATATCAGGTCTCTGTCATCTAAAGCTGTTTTAGTGAATGAATTAATATCAGATTATGATATTGATTTACTTTGTCTTACTGAGACCTGGTTGTCCCACATGGAGTATGTTAGCCTAAATGAATCCACCCCCCCCCCCAGTCATATTAATACTCACATTCCTCGAGGCACTGGCCGAGGAGGTGGAGTGGCAGCCATATATGATTCGAGCGTTTTAATGGACCCTAAACCTAAACTAAATTATAATTCATTTGAAAGCCTTGTTCTTAGTCTTTCTCACCCAAACTGGAAAACACTGCAGCCAGTTCTATTTGTTATAGTGTACCGCGCTCCTGGACCGTACTCTGATTTTATATCTGAATTTTCAGAGTTTCTATCAAGTTTAGTCCTTAAATCAGATAAAGTAATTATTGTAGGTGATTTTAATATTCATGTGGATTCAATGACAGCCTTAGTAATGCATTTATATCATTAATAGACTCAACTGGCTTCTGTCAGAGTGTAAATAAACCAACTCATTGTTTTAATTACACTCTTGACCTTGTTCTATCATATGGCATTGGTATTGAACATTTAATAGTCTTCCCACATAATCCTTTCCTATCTGACCATTATTTAATAACTTTTGAATTCATGTTGTTAGATTATAAGCCATTAGGCAAAACTTCCTACAGCAGATGTCTATCTGACAGTGCTGTAGCTAAATTTAAGGAGGAGATTGCTTCAGTGTTTAATTCAATGCCATGTCTGAATTTAACAGAATCCTATAACGACTTTAGTCCCTCTGAAATTGATAATCTTGTTGATAGTGCTACAGGCTCACTACGATCAACATTAGACTCTATCGCTCCTATAAAAAGGAAATTATTAAAACATAGGAGACTAGCACCTTGGTATAACCACCAAACCCGCCAGTTAAAACAAATAGCTAGGAAATCTGAAAGGAAATGGCGCTCTTCCAAATTATCAGAATATCACTCAAATTGGCAAGATAATCTTAAAACTTATAGAAAGGCCCTCCGTAATGCCAGAGGAGCCTATTACTCAGCACTAATAGAAGAAAATAAGAATAACCCTAGGTTCCTCTTCAGCACTGTAGCCAGGCTGACAGAGAGTCACAGCTCTATTGAGCCACATATCCCCATAAACTTAAGTAGCAATGACTTCATGAGCTTCTTCTATAATAAAATTATTACTATTAGAGAAAAAATTAATCACCAACTGCCATCAACAGTTATCAGTGGCTCTCCAAGTTCAGGGACTTCTGTCAATGTAAACTTAGATATATATTTAGACTGTTTTTCTGCTATCGATCTTCATCAGTTAACTTCAATCATTTCTTCATCGAAGCCATCAACCTGTCTATTAGACCCAATCCCAACTAGGCTGCTTAAACAAGTTGTTCCCTTAATTGGCACTACTTTACTGGATATGATTAATCTTTCTTTATTATCAGGATATGTACCACAGTCCTTTAAAGTAGCTGTAATTAAACCCCTTCTTAAAAAGCCCACTCTTGACCCAGGGGATTTAGCCAACTATAGACCGATTTCTAACCTCCCCTTCCTCTCTAAGATTCTGGAGGAAGTAGTCGCCAAAGAGTTGTGTGACTTTCTACATAACAATAGTTTATTTGAGGATTTTCAGTCAGGATTTAGAGTTCATCATAGCACAGAGACAGCTCTGGTTAAAGTTAATAATGACCTTCTGACTGCTTCAGACAATGGACTTGTCTCTGTACTTGTATTAATTGGCATTAAAGGAACCGCACTAAGCTGGTTTAAGTCATATTTATCAGATCGCTCGCAGTTTGTACATGTTAACGATGAATCTTCAATAAATACTACAGTTAGTCATGGAATTCCACAAGGTTCTGTACTTGGACCAATACTATTTACTTTATATATGCTCCCTTTAGGCAACATTATTAGGAATCACTCCATTAACTTTCACTGTTATGCAGATGATACACAGTTATATCTATCAATCAAGCCCGATGAAATTAATCAATTATCTAACATGTCTTAAGGACATAAAATCCTGGATGACCTGCAATTTTCTGATGTTAAACTCAGAAAAAAACAAAATTCTTGTTCTTGGCCCCAAAAACCTTAGAGACTCACTGTCTAAAGATATAGTTACTCTAGATGGCATTAACTTGGCCTCTAGCACCACTGTCAGGAATCTTGGAGTTATCTTTGATCAGGATTTGTCATTTAACTCCCACATAAAGCAGACCTCCAGGACTGCCTTCTTTCATTTACGTAATATTAGAAAAATTAGACACATACTATCACAGACAGATGCAGAAAAACTAATCCATGCATTTGTTACTTCAAGGCTGGATTACTGCAACTCTTTATTATCAGGTTGCCCCAATAAGTCCATTAAAACGCTCCAATTAATTCAGAACGCTGCAGCACGAGTACTGACAGGAACTAGAAAAAGAGATCACATCTCTCCTGTACTAGCTTCTCTGCATTGGCTCCCATAGGCCTAGACTATCGGGGGATTTCCCATGGTGCACTGAGCTCCTCCCTTCCTCTCTCTTTCTGCACTCATTCATGTCCCATTAATGCATGTTACTAACTTCACTTCTTCCCCGGAGTTCTTGTGCTTTCTCGTCTCACAGGTTCTTATCGATCCTGGTGGAGCCTCCAGCCATGGTCCTGCTAGATTGCCATTGCCAATACTGTTGTTGCTGTGCACCTGTCTGTCTGTCTCTCGCTCTCTCTCTCTCTTTCACCCCAACTGGTCGAGACAGACGACCACCCACCTAGAGCCGGAGGATCTGTCCTAGGTTTCTGCCTTTTAACAGGCAGTTTTTCCTTGCCCTTGTCGCCAAGTGCTTGCTCATGGTGGTACTGTTGGGTCTCTGTAATTAATGTTATAAAGAGTTCGGTCTAGACCTGCTCTATTTGAAAAGTGTCCTGAGATAACTTCTGTTATGAATTGGCGCTATACAAATAAAATTGAATTGAATTGAATTGCCAAGTCTTGAGCAGAAAGCAGAGCAGTAGCCTAACGTTAACGTTAATCTAAACGGAATATTTAGATATCAAACTGTGTGATATGATTGTGTAATATGTAATGAACATGTGAAATCCGCAGTGGGTGCACCGTAAACCAGATAATCACTCTAAACGTTACGAAACGTCCAAACTGCCTATTGCAACCAAGCTCGTCGTGTTATGTGCCAAACAGAATGCAAAAACCCGCGGTTACTCATTTTCAAACACGGATGTGACATCGCTCTCGAGCTGCAAGTCACGATTACGAGACAAAACCAACGCACCATTAGTGTCACACTGTATAAATACAGTTACTGGGACACAGTGTAAATACAGTTACTGTCACACTATAAATACAGTTACTGTCCCACTGTATAAATACAGTTACTGTCCCACTGTATAAATACAGTTACTGTCAAATTATAAATACAGTTACTGTCAAACCATATAAATACAGTTACTGTCACAATGTATAAATACAGTTACTGCCACACTATATAAATACAGTTACTGTCACACAGTATAAATAAGGTTACTGTCACATTGTATAAGTTACTGTCACACAGTATGAATACAGTTCCTGTCACACTGTATAAATACAGTTACTGTCACACTATATAAATACAGTTACTGTCACACAGTATAAATACAGTTACTGTCACATTGTATAAGTTTCTGTCACACAGTATGAATACAGTTCCTGTCACACTGTATAAATACAGTCACTGTCACACTATATAAATACAGTTACTGTCACACAGTATAAATACAGTGACCGTCACACACCATAAATACTGTCACACTATATAAATACAGTTACTGTCACACACTATAAATAGTCACACTATATAAATACAGTTACTGTCACACAGTATTAATACTGTCACACTATATAAATACAGTTACTGTCACACACTATAAATTCTGTTACTGTCACACAGTATAAATACAGTTACTGTCACTATAAATACAGTTACTGTCACACTGTATAAATACAGTTACTGTCACACAGTATAAATACAGTTACTGTCACACTGTATAAATACAGTTACTGTCAAAATGTATAAATACAGTTACTGTCAAAATGTATAAATACAGTTACTGTCACACAGTATAAATACAGTTACTGGATACAGTAAGGTGAGCTGGAGCAAGCCTTTGGGTACTACGGACCCCTCAGAACCGTCTGGATCGCCAGGAACCCTCCCGGGTTCGCCTTTGTGGAGTTTGAGGATCCACGAGAAGCAGACGATGCCATCGGAGGGTTAGATGGAAAGTCAGTGTGCAACAAACATCAGGTTTACCTGAACACTCACTTGAACACTCACCTGAGCACACAGCTAATCACAAACACTCACCTGAATACGCCTGAAGGCTGAGGCGTGACATTGTGATCACTATTTATTGTTGTTGTTGCAGATCAATCTGTGGGAGTTGCGTGGAGGTCAAACTCTCCACTGGTAGTTCAAGGCCCCCTCACTTCGAGCAGCCCCCCACCAGAAGACCTTTTGACCCCAATGATAAGTGCTACGAGTGTGGAGAGAAAGGTCATTACGCCTATGACTGTCACCGCTACAGCCGTGGCAGCAGGAGGAGCAGGTGACCATGACGACCACCATACCTGCCATCAACCTGTCTTTTAGACCACATTTCAACTAGGCTGCTTAAAGAAGTCGTACCCTTAATTGGCACTTCTTTACTAGATATGATTAATCTTTCTTTATTATCAGGATATGTACCACAGTCATTTAAAGTAGCTGTAATTGAACCCCTTCTTAAAAAGCCCACTCTTGACCCAGGGGTTTTAGCCAACTATAGACCGATCTCTAACCTCCCCTTCCTCTCTAAGATTCTGGAGAAAGTAGTCGCCAAAGAGTTTTTACATAACAATAGTTTATTTGAGGATTTTCAGTCAGGATTTAGAGTTCATCATAGCACAGAGACAGCTCTGGTTAAAGTTAATAATTACCTTTTGATTACTTCTGACAATGGACTTGTCTCTGTACTTGTGGTACTGTTGGGTCTCTGTAATAATGTTAAAGAGTTCGGTCTAGACCTCTCTATTTGAAAAGGTCCTGAGATAACTTAGTTTTTAATTGGCGCTTTTAAAAAAAAATTAATTAATTAATTGTTTTATTAGATCTTAGTGCTGCATTTGACACCATTGACCATAACATTCTTTTACAGAGACTTGAGCATCAAACTGGTATTAAAGGAACCGCACTAAGCTGGTTTAAGTCATATTTATCAGATCGTTTGCAGTTTGTACATGTTAAAGATGAATCTTCAATAAATACTACAGTTAGTCATGGAGTTCCACAAGGTTCTGTACCAATACTATTTACTTTATATATGCTCCCTTTAGGCAAAATTATTAGGAATCACTCCATTAACTTTCACTGTTATGCAGATGATACGCAGTTATATCTATCAATCAAGCCCGATGAAATTAATCAATTATCTAAATTACAAACATGTCTTAAGGACATAAAATCCTGGAAGAGCTGCAATTTTCTGCTGTTAAATTCAGAAAAAAACGAAATTCTTGTACTTGGCCCCAAAAATCTTAGAGACTCACTGTCTAAAGATATAGTCACTCTAGATGGCATTACCTTGGCCTCTAGCACCAGTGTCAGGAATCTTGGAGTTATCTTTGGTCAGGATTTGTCCTTTAATTCCCACATGAGGCAGACCTCTAGGACTGCCTTCTTTCATTTACGTAATATTACAAAAATTAGACACATCCTATCACAGACAGATGCAGAAAAACTAATCCATGCATTTGTTACTTCAAGGCTGGATTACTGCAACTCTTTATTGTCAGGTTGCCCCAATAAGTCTATAAAAATGCTCCAATTAATTCAGAACGCTGCAGCACGAGTACTGACAGGAACTAGAAAAAGAGATCACATCTCTCCTGTACTAGCTTCTTACTGCAGAAAGAGAGAGGAAGAGAGCTTTAAGCTTTATCAAAGAGGAATGTCTTAAGCCTACTCTTGAATGTGGTGAGGGTGTCTGCCTCCTGAACCACAACTGGAAGCTGGTTCCACAGGAGAGGAGCTTGGTAACTGAAGGCTCTGGCTCCTGTTCTACTTTTAGAGACTATAGGAACCACAAGTAGCCCAGCATTCAGAGAACATAGTGTTCTAGAGGGGTAATAGGGTACTATGAGCTCTTTAAGATATGAAGGGGCCTGACCATGAAGAGCTTTATAGGTGAGGAGGAGGATTTTAAATTCTATTCTACATTTTACAGGGAGCCAGTGCAGAGAAGCTAGTACAGGAGAGATGTGATCTCTTTTTCTAGTTCCTGTCAGTACTTGTGCTGCAGCGTTCTGAATTAATTGGAGACTTATTGGGGCAACCTGATAATAAAGAGTTGCAGTAATCCAGCCTTGAAGTAACAAATGCATGGATTAGTTTTTCTGCATCTTGTACTGCAGTAAAAAGTAATAGAAGTATAAAGTACACAGTCAGATATAATCACAATAGAAACTCTGTGTACTTTAATAAAAAGTAAAAAAACGGGAAAAAGATTTTTTCTTAACGACAGATTCACATGTTTACAACGACCTGTGACCTGTGGACACGCCCCCTTCCTGTAAGCCCGTCCCTTTGGTGATGTCCAGCAGCAGCGTGGACTGAGAGTCAGACTGAGCAGAGAGACTTCAGCTCCACTCACAGAAGAAGACCAAGAAGGAGAAGAAAATGGCTGACTCAACCAGCAGCAGCCGCTCTGACTCTTCATCATCCAAAAATTCCTCCTCTTCCTCACTCAGAGATCTCACACATTCAGGTAATGACTCACTTAAAATAAAACATTCAACCAACAACAGTTCAGCAGCTCCATCATTATTAGTATTTTATAATGTATAATGTAATGTATATTGTAGAATGTAATGTATAATGTAATGTACAGCACATACAGGGACAGCCACTGCAAACTAGCTTAGACTAGAAATGTTGTGGTGTATTTCTTTATGGACAATGAAGATTTAAATAAT